AGTATCAATAAAAATTTATTGTATATCAATGGTTGCTACACGGATGAATGAAATATTACTGAACATCCAGATCTCGTGACTCAGAATATTGTTATCGAAGGTCTCTACTCGAACTCACACAGTCGTGGAGAGTCGTCATATGAGCTGACCACTAGTGGTATCCGTCAGGGATGCTCATTGTCACCGTTCATATTTAGCGTCATCATAGACGTACTCATGGACACAAACTTAGGTACGTCTATCTTCACAGGGATTGATATATTACCTGAAGGTAATCTAGTCGACTCGAAGTATACAGACAATATTTTTCTACTTAATGAAGACAGTGCTAAGATGTAAAGTAAAATGATGCTAAACGGCTGACCTGATGCAAGTTCCTACAGTTTTTGACAAGGAGTGCAGTCGTGGAATACGTCAACCACTCCACTTACTTCAGGAGTTACATCAAACCAAATGGATTGGTCAATGACAAAATCTCACCTCACATGCAGAAGGCTCATTGGGCATTCGCCTACTTGCGTCATCTGTAGACCCGACTAACCAGATATTCAACTATCTAAGAAAAGATGAGTATACTGCACTGCACTGCAGTCCGTTCTGTCCTGTTATACCACTGTGAAACATGGTCAGTGAAATTAGAAGACATAAAGCGGCTACAGCGTTTTCATCACAAATGTCTTCATGACACTGCTCACGTCCGGTGGAATCATCATGTGAGTAATGTTGAGACCAGGTGAAAGATACTCGACAAGACAGGAAGTTCGATTGATGAGGTTGTGAACCTTCATCGACTGAGATGACTTCGATATATATATATATATATATATATATATATATATATATATATATATATATATATATATATTGTGTATGCTGAGCCACCGCCCACCTGAATATGCCAAGCTTGGGGAAGTTGGATCAGGTTGGAAGAGGGTTCAGGATGATCAGATGGAGTCATGACACCAGTGCATGAAGTCCATGAGTGTTGGTCTGAGTTGTATGAGGAGATATAGACTATGTGACTGGGATCCCTGAGATGATAGAATAAGTTTTTGAGGACTCTTGGTGAAGTGTCTGAAAGTCAGTTGTGAAGGCGCAGATGTATCTATTGTCTGACGTCTTCCAAATCTTGAATATCTTTCCTCACTACTATTTTCAAATTGTTGATTCCCTGCTAGAACTTTTTTTACCTTGATATAAGTCTTTTTCTTTCCACCTGTTCTTTGTGTACTACTGTGAAGTGTAGTAACTTGAGGCGGTGCACTTGTGTGCGACGTTCTACGATGATCTTGTCTGTTTTTCTGTCTGACTCAATAGCCTACTTGAAAACGCTTTGGAGTTTAAAGCCATGTGTTCTGGGTTCACGCTTTTGTTGAAAAACCAGCAGTCAGTGGGCTGAAGGTACATTCACTTGATAGGTCCTGAACGAGACAAAACTGCTAGTCACTAGTAAGCATGTAACTTTATTATTCAAACTACTTGAAATGTTGTCTCACTGTATGGTAATGACAATAAATAAACTTGTGTTAACCAAGTGCTGCATATGAAGTACCGGTCATGGAAGGGTCATTAAGTAGAAGGCATTTAATTGCGCATGGAAAGCTTATTTATTAAGAATATTATCCTTGAATATATGTTTAAGAAAGGAAGAGAGAATGTTTAAGTTTCTTTCAAGAGCCCATACAGTTCAAAACAAATCATTTCAGTATGGCTTGAGTCGAGATATTTCCACTGAGGTTAAAAGTCACTAAGACATGGAACGAATCTGTAAACGTTACATCATCCTGATTTACATTTTCGATAACAACATTTTCCTCAAACTTATTTATCAGTACTTTTCTCCTCTGGTTGTTAATTTTACTGAAATGGCTTAAGTGGTCTCTAATAGAGTATGGGATTTTTTAATAGATGCTCGGATGTAGTTAGCAACGACATCCAGGTCACATTTTTCGTCGTATTTTAGGCCTGTTAACTGGATGTGTCTATATCTCAGTGAGTAATTATTCCCCCAGTGATAACTGAACGTAGCCATTGAGTACTGGAATTCAATCTCATTGGGATGGAGATCAATCCAGCTGATGAGTCTCGAAAAGAATAGGATCCGCCACATGGATTCCAAAGCTAGCCATAATCAATTAAATAATTTCATAGACAGCATTAATTTGTATTGTGAACAGATTATGCAGTGTGTTACCAAAAATGCCAATCCTATTCCAATACGCAGTTATCAATTCATTGACTCACTCATTCATGTTATCTGAAAATAAACTTTTGGTTTATTAAAGTAGAAGATTTATTGAATGCTTTTTCAAGTCCAAAAAAGGGCAATATTACAAAATATACAAGCCATTTGTTGTGATGTTTTGCATCGTCTATTTATCCACTTCCATAAAACACATGGTTACGCTTGCAAAGCAATTCGCATTTAGCTGTTACAAGTTAGGACAGTGAAGCTAAGGATCTCACTATCAGTCAGGAAAAACTATCTTTTGAAATTAGTTTCAAGTATTTCGGTGCTAGGATTTGGGAGTCGAAACAAACAGCGTAGTGTAGCATCATACCACTTATCTTAATACTTACATACTGCTCACCTGATAGATAAACTTTTAAAGACTAGACATTTACATCAGCTACTTGCTAGCAACTACTAGTTTACGAAATTAGATCAGGTAAGTAAACATAAGAAATCCACACCGGGAAACGATGATGTTTTCTTCGATTTCACAAAACTCCACTAACAGTTTCTATCTCACTACAGTTCTTCGTCAAACAATAGAACACTAAGCTTATTGTGTTGAATACATGCTATGATTTTCATAGGTATATCGACGGTTTTGCACATCAAATATGCACCGATTTGTAGATTGTTATTTTTGAGACAATATAGAAGAGTTTAGGGAGTACTGAGAACAATGAAAGATAAGGTATATTATCACCTGCCTAGACTTTTCCAGCCTGTCAGTTCAGTTACTCTACTTCTTGCAAAATCCTTATAATGAAGTACTAATTCTCAGTTGCATGTTCGTTTCTGAGCAACTTTATGCAAATACTGACAAAAGAAGAAAAGTTGGTAGAATGATAATCTTACTGATAATTTCCGTAGAATAACACTGGAAGTAGGATCTGAACAAGGCGGCTATCGGATTGATAGTGACTTTAGTTCACACGGGCAAACGGAGTAGGTATGAAGTTGGATGCTTTCATGTAATTCTAAATGATGGTCATACTATGTAGACAGGTTTAAAATCTTTAGAACCTTGGGTTAAATGACAACTTGCTTGCTGTAAGATCTTATAGTTCAAGACCTGATTTTATATGTCGTCATGGTAAGGCATTGATTATTGAAGAGTTTCAAGTTCGAGTACGAAATAGATGTTCAGCATACTCTGGTTTTCAGTGGCCTTCTAAGTGGTTATAGTTTGTGGAGTGAAGTTTCTTGATATAACACAATCACCACATAATTTTCAATTAAAAGCCTTTCGTGTCTTAAACTAAAAAAGGCAACAAATTGTCGGCAGAAGAGGCTTCATTTCAGGTATAATACTTCTACTTAGTGATGTCAACTGGTAACCCAATGCATACGAATAAAGCCGCTCAAGTATCAAGATTTTTGACCACAATAAGAATAACGTCCTACTCTCCACGGTAGAATAAAAGTGATACAAGAATAGACTGAAGAAAACAAACGTGATGCAAGTCCCAAATGATCTGGAAAGTGGTTTGTTTAAGACCAAAGTATAAATCATTTTATCCCAGATATGGTATGTTACTATATTTAAAGAATGGGATTTATCGGACTTTAGTTACAACTTTGTATGCAGATTTATTCACTGGTTGGTAATTCACAGGGATAACATGAGAAGAATTTGGTAATGACCTCACAAAGGAATAGAAATCAGATAAGCTTGAGAACACTTGTTGTGTATTTGATCTTCACCTTAACACCATACAGTTTCACGACGAGTATGTAGGGTCACTGAGTGATCATCCTAGCAACTACTGAAATAATCACTCAGGTTCCTCCATTTCGTTAAAATAGAGAAACCTATTGGTTAATTCAGTAGTTGTTTGTGTGTTTCTTAGAGCTGTTTTGGTTATTCTATTGCTTTTTACAAATCTCTAGGTTTTAGTTTCCACAGTAAAGACTGTCGTTTTTGTCTTCTAAATGTATGAAGAAGACTTACTGGGATATTATCACATGGGGTTCAACTAAACTTCAACGATAACCGACCAATCAGGTTGAAGATGGTGAAACAGTATGTTATAGGGGTATCAATGACAGCAACCTTACTTGTCTGTCAATGTATAAAAATTACGGTTCATTCGATCACGTTTTCTAGAAAAATATTGCAGAATTCCTTTACTTTTACATTTCAATTGTAAGAAATGAAAAGCTACTGAAACCCTGACAGGTTAATTTACAGATATTCTGTATAACGTAGTAAGCATTCCTACACATACAAGAAATAAAAGTTGCATTTCAGAAGGTAGATACTTAAGGCCAAGTAATGGCTTTTTAGGCAACAAACCAGTAAGAAATCTGAAGTCAGCTGTCTTTTTCAACCCCGGCAACGAAATGAGTAGCTGATCGTAAATTTCCCACTAGTGTTTTTGTAAACTCAGGATGCTAATTTACTTGAAATAAAAAGTTAAGCTAAAATGAAGTAAAATTAAGATTATGGCTGACTTTTATTGCCCACAATCTAACACTAAATCATAACTAATGATCGTTTACTCACTTTTGAAAAACGAAAACAATTAGCCGCTGTTTTACCGTTGATTACGGTACACCTGAATAAAGTTGAGAAATATTCGTATTTGATACGAATTAATTTCATAATATCTAGGTCTTTAACCAAACCTTCATTCCCTGAACTAACTTTCTATACAAGCATTGACTTGATTGGGCATTTCAGTTTAGCCCAAACTCAGACACGATTGGCTATCACTAAAGTTTACTTGAATCTCTCATGGTTTCATTCTTTTCGATATGTTCATAGAATATTGAAGCACAAAAGCGGATTGAATTTATCTCTGAAAGAGAAAGATGCATAGATCGTGGACCAGCATGGATTAAGGCGTTATGTGCATTTATCATATTATCAAGTCATTATGGTATACTAAATTGTGGTGCCCTATTCTACCCTGGACTAGAAGAAACCCTACAGCTTCCACTTAATGTTTTATGCTGGCTAATGACTGGACAGTTTGCAATCACATTTTGTTTAGGTGAGTGTTTAAAAAACATGCATACATCAATTTGTCGTTGTTAAATTTTAATGCTTGTTTTGTTTTTGCCACTAAACACTATGCTACAGTTGAGAGTAACAAACAACCAATAGCAATTACCACTGGTCTAGCAATTGAGAACTCGTATTCGTTCATATTTGACCTAACCGCCCACTATTTCTTAGACTTTTCTTATAGCCAGTACATTCGATCATTGTAGACTTGAACAAGACAACTGCTTTTTCTTTATTTATCTCAGTGACAAAAAGCTTTGTTCTTGAGTGAACCAAATACGGGACAAACAGGTGTAGTACAAAGCACCCAGAAACACCTATTGAATAAAAACCAACAGAATTATGACAGTGGTATTCATGCGGTAAATAGAAAGTATTTCATATAGCTGATAAAACATTTCCAAATCTTCAAAACTAGTAAGGGCAACACTCATGGGAAACAGACAGACTGAAGAAATTCAATGTAGAACCTTGCATAAACGTGCATCCGATAAAGTCGAAATTTACTGTAGTATACAAAGAACAGGTGGAAAGAATAAGACTTATATCAAGGTAAAAAAAGTTCTAGCAGGGAATCAACAATTTGAAAATAGTAGTGAGGAAAGATATTCAAGATTTGGAAGACGTCAGACAATAGATACATCTGCGCCTTCACAACTGACTTTCAGACACTTCACCAAGAGTCCTCAAAAACTTATTCTATCATCTCAGGGATCCCAGTCACATAGTCTATATCTCCTCATACAACTCAGACCAACACTCATGGACTTCATGCACTGGTGTCATGACTCCATCTGATCATCCTGAACCCTCTTCCAACCTGATCCAACTTCCCCCAAGCTTGGCATATTCAGGTGGGCGGTGGCTCAGCATACACAATATATATATATATATATATATATATATATATATATATATATATATATATATATATATATATATATATATATATCGAAGTCATCTCAGTCGATGAAGGTTCACAACCTCATCAATCGAACTTCCTGTCTTGTCGAGTATCTTTCACCTGGTCTCAACATTACTCACATGATGATTCCACCGGACGTGAGCAGTGTCATGAAGACATTTGTGATGAAAACGCTGTAGCCGCTTTATGTCTTCTAATTTCACTGACCATGTTTCACAGTGGTATAACAGGACAGAACGGACTGCAGTGCAGTGCAGTATACTCAACTTTTCTTAGATAGTTGAATATCTGGTTAGTCGGGTCTACAGATGACGCAAGTAGGCGAATGCCGAATGAGCCTTCTGCATGTGAGGTGAGATTTTGTCATTGACCAATGCATTTAAGTTGATGTGACTCCTGAAGTAAGTGGTGTGATTGACAGATTCTCTTACTTCACTTCCTATCTTTTGATTAGGACTAGTTAAATGCCTCTTTGGTAAATACTGTAACTGTAAGTAGTTCATACTGCGCGATGGAACTGACAACCTGCCTGATGATCTTACCGGCTGCATTCAGTGCTGTAGTCAGCGAGGTTAACACTTAGGTATTTGGGCAGCAACATACTCTCTGTAGGACTGCATTAGATACATTTATTGGTCACTGGAGAGTAAGCAACTTCATGTTGTCTAGTCCTGTGTGCTGACCGGATTCTATCGATCAGTTTGCAATGTGCCCACCAGACTAGGCAGTCCAGCATCGCAATGCAGTCCTTCCAACTTACATCTATCAAAGTGCATCGATACGCTGAGCTGCCTAGTCTGGTAGGGACATTGTAAAATGGTCGTTAGTATTCTTCGGCTATTAGGGGTGGACAATATGAAATTGGTTATTATGCAGTGATCAGTCAACTTATTGTGTGAACTGTTTGGTGAAGCCATATTTTTGAAAACTGCTTGAAATACGTGCATCACTGTTCTTATTCTTCCTACAACATTTTGAATTAATATTCTAGTAATTGATGAATAGTTCAAATCCAAAAATAGCATAACTACTTAAGTTTTACTCCTCGGTAATAGCAGAAACAAGAAATTTGCAGAGTAGTCACCACTGGTTTTAATTCTGAGTCGTGTTTGACATCATTACAAGCTACAAAGTTAGGTTTTTTCTCCAGGTCCGATCCAGAAGCTGACAGCCAGCAAAATATGCTAACCTCAGACAGTTAAACTTTAGCCCATCCAGTTCCAAGGCTGAAAAGCAGTAAATAGTGTATGAGTCAAGGACCAAAACGTCAGTAATACTTATCCAAGCCAACAAAACCAGTGTTACTCAATGGATGGGGATCTTCACCACAATTTTGCATGTGCCACTCAACCCAAAATTTACTTATATAGTGTTTTCCACTAGATGGCAGCAGTTCTGTAAAGACAACGATGATCGAAAATGCGCAGTCATCGGACATTCGACGTTTGAACAGGTCAGGTTTCATAGGAGTGGAGGAGGAATGCAAGCACCAAAGCGGCTTTTCGCATTAAGATTAGTGTGACAGCGGCATTAAAGGTGACCCAAATTGGCGTACACTACTCTGGCCTTCGATGTTCTTCTAAATATCTCATCAGCCATACCTTAGTCACTGACTGGACTGAAACATTCAACGCAGAACCTCGCACACAGATGCACTGACCTAAGTTACCACACTTCACAGAAGTACACAAAGAACAGGTAGATAGAAAAGGAGTGATATCAAAGTAGAAAATGTCGCTTGAGCAAATAAACAATCTGAAGATAAAGATTAGTCTGAATATTCAAGGCTTAGAAAATGTCTAAGAGTGACTACATCAGCACCATTTTGATCGGTTTCTAGCCGTCACCAGGAGTCCTCAACCACTGACTCCTTTCTTCTTGGGGACCTCAACCAGGCGGTCTACATCTCTTCACACGACTCAAGCCAACATTCATGAACTTCATGGACTGATACCACGTCTTGATCTGCTCACCGTAAACCATCTTCCAACTCCATTAAGCTTCCTTACCGTGACAGGCGGAGGCATTTGGCGGCTTGGCAAGCGCACTGCATGCCGAAACCATCTCAGCCTGATGAAGGTTCACATCTTCAATAATTGACTTGCCTGTGTTGTCCAGCACCTTTCGTCTGACCTCAACACTGCTCACACGGTGATTCTACCAAACATCTATTTACTGCTGTTATTATTATGTCAGTATTAATCCTGTTAAAAATGTCTGAAAATGCTTAGAGCGAAGAAAGTAAGAATTCTACGGAACTAATATCAAAGATGAGAAACAGCAGACTATTCGCAGTCTTCTTCAGAAAGAGAATGTAATGAAACAGAACAGTTGACCAAACTTATGGCGTTATTTGTTTCCAGAAGTATGGACTGGAGTTCACGCTTATTCTTCACTAGACGCTATACTTTTAGTTCATAGAAATAGAGAAGGCAATACATTTTTCTAAATTACAAGTATATTTTTTTATTATTATTATTGTGGTGTAACACTAGATGTCATCATCCTTATTTTTAAGTGAATTTATTGAAATAATAATGTTTTCACTCCAAAATAACCAAGATAGTGATCATGGTTTCTGTAATAAAACTGTGTCTTCAAGATGAATGCTAACAATAGTTCTTTGGTAGATCTAATTAAAATTTTTCTAATGTTTAGCCTCCTGCTTGTCAGTCAGTGCATATACAGCAGATTTGTAACACCCATCAGATGAATCAATATGGCAGACTTGAATCTTCAAGCACACAGACTTCATTTTAGTTTTAGGTTTTATGGGGATTTCATTTATTTCAAAGTTGTTTTCTTTACGGATTGACATCAGGTGGAGAATCATTGAAAATTTGGAAGCACTGGATAGCTGTTTTGTCTTAGTGTGGGATTCTTCAACAGTGCACACTCACGATCCCACCTGGGATCGAATTCCGGACGGGGTTCATTGAACTAGCAGTTCAGTGAATTGTAATTTATTTAATTGATGTTGGTCTGTGACGAATACATTGAGATCAATCATTACTTCACATTACTCCTAAAGGAATAATGAGTCATTGATCCCAGATGACACTGAATGACGATTGTATTTCTGTTGATTGATCGGAGCTGAAAATTCTGAACCACGGGATTCTTACCTAATGACTGAATGGTACTGAATTCTACCCCATGTAAGAACTTCTCAGGAGCCACAAAGTACGATAAAGCATCTACCCAAAGCTTTTATGTTTTCAATGGCTTAGGAGCGTATTTCGATCTCTGATGATTACTTTGAACTTAATCAGTTTCCAATAAACATCCCAAATTATCAACTTTATTTTATTTTTTCGCGGTGGTTGTATGGCTTTTTAAGCTATTTTTGTGGTTTTATTGTTCTCTGAGTTTAATTAATGTATGCGTAGTAATTTCTGACGTAATGGCTATAACAATTTCTAAAGGTATCAGTATGTCCTCATTTTATATTTTGTATCAATCACTTCTATTTGTACATTTTTTCATTTACTAACGCATAGTCAAAATCCTTTTTCACTTGTTTAGCGCCAATATATAATCGTTTATTGGATTTGGTTGCCAACAGACCTGCTACTGTAGTGGCTGTTACAGTCACGAGTGCAGCAATGATTTTGTCTGTATTCTTTAACAGTTATTTGGGATTCTTTCTTACTTACACGCTAGTTGCAGGTAAATTAACTTTTGATTTGGTGATAAGTAGAAGTTTTCTAAGTTGTTTTTTTATCACAAGTCCACATTAACCGGAAAAAGCTTGAGAACCTGAGGGTACTAAACCACCGTTTCGTTTTCGTTTAGAAGTCTTCAGTAATGAGTACCCATGACCTCAAGCCAGCAATTCGTTATTCAGCTAAAGGGTCGAAAGCTTATGTAGTTAATACCACGAGTTGATAGAAAAAGGGCTGTGTGAACACTTGAATCCTAACCCCATGGAATGCAGACTGATATTATCAAGGTGTTCACAATGATTCATCATAAACCATTCACTTTACCACTATGATGATCTAGACACTTGACTTCAACCAGTTAATACGATGCTCGAGTTTCTCTGTACCTACTGAAGTTATAGCAGTCAATCAGTATCACAGTCCTTACACACTAGATTTAGCCTATCACCTAGTGAATAAAAATGCACTAAGTTGCGGAGATACATTATTGCATACATTAAAAACCACTGCGCTCGGTCATTAAAGACAGAATGTATGTAGCCAAAAGATATCTGGATAACAAACCTTATGACCCAGATTGCAAACATAGTTTTGTCTCTCACCGTACTTTGACTACTTAGTTCAGCTCATATTATTTGCTCTTTATTTCTGTTTTAACTATTTGAGGAACTGTTGACTAATCTTACCATTTATTGACCAAACTGTCAAGTAACAAGCTACTTTAGTGTTGTTTAGTTTATAGGTCTTCGAACCCTGTATAGTTACCCTATCAAGGATTAACCACCGTATTTTTTATTTGTTAACTTTAAGAGTATCTTAAAATTCTCGACTACTTTCCCTTGGTCAACTACTACTACTACTCACACTACTACTACCACTACTCACACTACTACTACTACTACTTCAAGTGATACTTTTAGAGTTTACACACTTGTGTAGAACGATGTAAAGAAGTATTGGTTTGCTATCTGAATGATTGACTGAGAAGCTTTTAGTTGTTAGTTCTTGTTGGAGAGAATCGACAGAAAGTTCTGCTGGACCTAGGTTATGTGCTTACTGAAACTCGTCAGCTAGGTGTAGCTGCAATCTCGAGGGAATTGATGTCACCCCTAAAATTCAAATCCACGTCATCCAGTGTTGTACTCAGAGACATAATCACTGAGGCATTCAGGCTGTGATATACCTCCTGTATGCAAGACTGGATTAGACACATTAGTTGGTTATGGGAGAGTAACCAATTTTCAGACACGCCTCGTTGGTGAGAGCCAACAGCCGCAAAACTTAGGTCATGAATAACTTTCTACTGATTACCTGCATCCAAGTAAAATCCATCACAGTGCACCGTGATGATGAGCCTCCTAGCTTGCAGCATGATTGATATAATTTGAACGGCACTCAGGATTATACGACATGAAATTAGTTCCTCTCCAATGACCATTCAATATAAGCTTTTAATCACTGATCAGGTGAATATTCTAGAAACGAGGATCGGAGTTGGAAACTTCTTATTCACAAGAATTTCCCCTAAAAATAGGATCATCGTTGTGGGTTGAGCGTACACGATTAAAAACTAAATGATTCACAGTCGGGATGAATGCAGATTGATGAAGAAGCAAAAAGCAAGAACGATGAGGAATCCGAATATCTTTAGTTGTAAGGTCTCTCATTGTAGAAATAAATGACATTGATTTGAATGAATGAGGGGATATGAGTTCACTTGAGGTTGCAGAGAAGCTTTATTGACGTATGCTGTAAAGCATATAGTAAACATTTAGAGCTTCCTGCTTTCAACCATTTAACGTCAATTGTGAAAATGTTTATTCTTATCTTTCACTCAGAAGAAATTGAATAACACTCAATAATATAGAAAAAGATGGTTATTTATCCTTTTGTTACACTATTATTTTGATGTCTAAAAGTAAAGTGGTGGATTCATTTATATTTATGACAAAGAAATCTATAAACTACTTGGCACTAACATAGAGTAATTAGAAACTATTCAGCCCTAATCTACAAATTTCCCCCAATCAAATACCAGTAGCTTAAAACTGAACTCATGAACTGTAACTTTGGACAAAATTAGCTCATAAAGATATAAATTTTTCATTTCAATCAAATTTAACTTGATGAAATCAATATATGATATGCAAACTACTTGAAGACTGAACAGTTCAAACCAATTTTTCTCGAGGCTATATTCCATTTCAATATCTCATATTTGGTGTTAATGGATTTTGCTATAAAAAACAGAGAAAAAAAAATCATAAACTTTTGTCAAGGAATACGACTGAATTTCTTCTAATGAAAACTCCATCTACACATCCATTTTAAATTCGAAAGTTGATTACTTTTGATAAATGTTAACATACACTGAGCAGTTTGTAAATTATTCATTTGTTTCGTCAAATAAATCTTACTTAGTATGGCATTATATGTATATATACTAGGCGATGATTGAAGGTGAAATGAAAAATTGGACAGTCACCAGATTCGAACCAGCGACTACCGGGTCTCCAACCTGATGCTGTACTAACTGATCTACGATAGTGTTGGGTCGGGGACCTGGTGGTCGCTGGTTCAAATCTGGTCACTGTCCAAATTTTCATTTCACCTTCAATCATCGCTGAGTATAAATACTATTCAACTAACAGAAATTCGTCGTTATGTGTAAGTAAGTCTTATCTATAACAGCTGGTTACAGATAAACAGGGAAGTTGATGAAGTGAAAATGCTGTTAACACATTTAAATTAGAGATAAATTTCATTTTAGTCGAACAGACAAACAAAATCAGCGTTCAACTGCACGTAGAAGTGCATCGCAGCAAATTTTTATGTATCAAAGCAGTATATAGAGAAAAAACCTCTCCTGGTTAAACAGTTCACTAGTTACTAGCTGGTCCTAAACCCAGAAAAGCAAGACAGGCGTTCATTAACCTGAAACTAGTATAGAGATCTGCACTCAGAATAAATAAGAAGATCCGGATTTCTAATACCGATATCAAGTGAGTGCTTCTAAATGGTTCAGAAACTTGGCGCGTTACGAAGGGCATTTCCAACAAACTACAGACATTCATCAACAACTGCCTACGCTCACTCGTTACTGAAGCTCAAATGGCCAGAAAAAATAAGCAACAAGGAACTCTGACTGGCTGACAACGTACCAACCAAGAACCTATTGCTCAACAAATATGCACTGGAAGGAAATGGAGATGGATTGGGTATGCACTAAGGTGATCATTCAGGGACACCACGCGCCAAGCACTCTAGTGGAACTCAGATGGAAAACGACGAGTTGTTCGTCCGAGGGTGACATGAAGGAGATCGTGTGAGGAGGAAATGAGAGCCTGTGGGCTGTGGTGAAACCAGGTTCAAAAAATTTCAGAGAAGAGAGTGGAATGGAGACGTGCTACTGAAGTCCTATGTTCCACTAGGAACCCAAGGGAAAAATAATATAATATAATATAATAATAATGTAGTGAGTAAGTGGATAGAAAAGGATTGAAACCAAACGAAACAAAAGTGTATGAAAGGAAATACAATTTGAAAAACGAAAACCAATGAGAATGTTCAAACCATATATAACGTTAAAGACCAAAAATGAGCTGACAAATGACAGAGATTTACACACAGTAGGTAGACTGGGTAAAGTAATAAGAACAACGTATATTTACTAAACCGTTTTTCATGCTTATGTAAATGCTTACAGAAATCGTAATAACATCGGGAACATTTTAGCTATTCTGTATAGTATATGTAATGAAAGTTGTTGAAATAAGGTGCATTAGTTTAAAGCTGAAATGCCTGCTATAGAAGTTCGAGACTCTTTAATTCGAAGCTTAATAGAGTCATCGGATATACACGTTTGAGGATTCTGATTTTAACTCCTTTGCTAAACCCATATCTACAAGTACATCATAATCATCTAGGTTACTTTTCATTTTTTTCTATACCTTTCCATATTTTCTTCTAAATTTCAGGTATTGGAATGGGTATCAGTTTTGTTCGAGTAATAGCTGTTATGGCTGAATACTTTGATCAGTATAGAGTGCTTGCATTGGCAATTTGTAGTAGTGGTGCTGGTTTTGGAACTGTTATCTACTCACAATTAGGCAATTATATGATTGATAATTATACATGGCGTATTGCTTTAATCTCATTCGCTCTAGTTCATTTACATGTTATCCCATTAAGTCTGTTAAATCGTCCACTTTCATCAGAACAAATACCAGAGCCTACAATTCTATTGCCTGATGATCCAATCATGTCTACAATGAGTATAAAATCTGTTACAGGATTGCCAAATATTTATGCTTCATGTATAAGTACAACTGGTGGTGGTGGCAGTATTTTAAGTAGTATTGATAATATGAGTCAAAAGTATAAATCACAAACAACACGTAATCGACTTACAGGAAAAGATATAATTGGTGTTGTAGAATTTATTAAAATTAGCTGTGACAAATCTGATACAAATCAGTTAACTGTTAGTCCAATCAATTTTATCAATGATTTAGAACCACAAATATTAGAGCGTATACAAACAGTAGCTGATGAATTCTTTGATAATATTGAGAATGCTACTATAGAAATACCACTAGATAATACAGATGATTTACAATACAACATGTTCCTTCCTATTATATTCTTAGTATGTAATCAGATGACTGGACTGCAAGAAAGTTTTCCAGAAACCCAAACATTAATTGATAGTAATCTGGGTGGAATTGAAAAGTTGTTAGTTGATCGTACTAACTATACTGGATCAACAGTAATTACCAATAAGCAAACAAGTATAGGCCAAATACCCAATATGAATCAATCGATACTACAGAGAACAACACAAAAATCAACTTCATTTATCGGTGATTCCATTACATCAAGTGTGATTAAAGCCTATGATATTAAACATACTGAGAATATAATACGTGCAATTATTAAACGTGCTACAAATAAAGTCATGCAGATTTCCAAGGAATTGACTACAAGAAATCTACTAGTTTATCCTAAACCATTGATTGTAGTTGTTAGTCAACAATTTGTAGATTCAATAAATCCAAAATTACCATTTGAAGATCGGTTAAACGCTTCAAGATATCCGAGACCAGGTGAAAATACAATTTTTGAAGAAAATGAAACTGAGAATCAAAATGAAGATGTTGATTACGATGATGACAATCTTGGTATCAAATGTAAACTGACTGTTCAAAATTCTGGACGAAATAAACTGATTTCATCTGGATATCAATTGACCAATTCACATTTAAATTTACGTCATCCAAAAACATCTTATGGATCCAGAGGATATATAGATCAAATTATACAAAGTGGAGTAACTATTTACCAAAGTCAATCAGTAATTGCACCACTGTACAAGTACAAAGACTTACCTCTTATACCTAGTCGTTTATCAGTAACTTCAGTGAGTGAGCCAAAAGAAGCTGTTGACTTGTTGATCTCTAAGATTGATGACAATGAACAACATGAAGAGTACCCATCTGATGTAGAAATGGATAAAGGCAAAAATTCAGTTATAAACTTGAAAAATACATTATTTCTAAGCTTCCTATTAACTCGTACACTAACCTATATAGGTGATTCTATATTGTTTGCACATTTCATTAATTTTGGCAAAAGTAATGGACTACAAGAAGAACAAGCAACTGGTCTACTTGCTTACGTTGGTATAGCAAGTATGTTAGGCAGATTAGGCATTGGGATTATTGGACAATTTTCAGAAAAATTAGAAATTCGTTCAATTGTAGCAATTAGTCTATTTATAATAGCCATACACACTGTATTTATGCCTTTCTATCCAACGTATCCTGCATTAGCTGCTTATGGTATATGTTATAGTCTGTTTGTTGGACCAAGTTTTGCATTCTCAAATTCAATGACTATTGAAATTATGGGTGATAAAAAATGGATCGCAGTTTATCTTTGGTACTGTTCTTTGAAGCAATAGGCTATCTCATTGGTGGACCTCTAGGAGGTTAGTTAAAATAATATTTCATAACAACATTTTCTTTTATTCATGACACATCTTACCTATTATAGTATCATGTAGTTGATAAATTTGCAATGTAATATCAACACTTATTACTTTGTGGACTATTTGCTAATATTTGGCATTACCGGCTGTAGGGTTCACAATGCATCAATGAATTACTCGTTGACTTTCATGTTACTTAAATATTAATATGTAGTATCTTTATAATCCTAAAAATCAGGCGACTTTACGATCGCGTGAGCTATTATCTCCTCGTAGAAATAAATGTCTAATCAAACCAAAGTTTATGCTGCTTTTCAAACAATATATCTTTCGTAACTAATATGCATGTGTGAGAGTCCTATATGCAGAGAGTTAGTAGAATGAATTTCTAGCAAATAAAGCGTTTAAACTAGAAGTTTGTTGGATTAGGAATCCTCTTGTAGCCCAAAGAATATGTAATCTTCTGGAAGATATAGTGTTTTATGGTGTTTAGTGTTCTATCACTCCATACTTTATGTTTTTTAATCAATATAGGTGTAAAACTTGGGCACTGTGGTAGAATTTAACTCCATATTAGATTTGTTTATTCGATCTATAATACACAGTGATCTAGTGTTGTTTACTTGATGATGTTTCGAGCATAAATTATCATTGCTCATAATCATATCAATGAGTAATCACACTACTTTCCACATCTTCTTTTTATAGTCTTGTTACTTCATATTATTTGTTTTTATTGGTAGCAAAATTTTCCATATATCTGGTATAGGTGTTGGGTCATTCCTGTGGCATATGATCGGTGTTGGTTGATTCGATGAACAAAGATTCAGTAATTAATTTTTCTAACTGTTCACCCAATTATATTGGACTTACGTACAGTGGCTTTATCCCACCCTACTGTGTGGTTGTTTGTTAATGTACGAATAACAATAGCCGAGTTTTCTCTAGATTATTCATCTTATGTGGGTCTGATATTCTATATTTAGTTAGATTTCTATGTTCGGCTATTCTAACTGACCCCGACCGACTAGTTTGACCTACCCTAATTCCTCAACAAAGCTGGAATTAGGGCGGTGTTAGAACCTACAAACTCATTCGGCATAAGGATCCGATAGAAACAATTAAGCAAAATAATATAATCTATCCAAATCCATTTATTGACTGTGAGGTCAAGTATATAGGTCAAACTAGTCGGTCGGGGTCAATTAGAATAGCCGAACATAGGAATCTAACTAAATATAGAATATCAGACCCAAATAGGATCAATAGTCTAAAAAAACATACAATACGACGCATGCATGCATTAACACAACCACACAATAGGGTGGGATAAAGCCACTGTACTTAAGTCCAATATAATTAGGTGTAGAGAGTGGGAAATTGGTTATTGAATCTTTGTTCATCGAATCGATACGCAACACATGTAATAGAAATGACGCAACATCTATACCAGAGATTTGGAAAATTTTGCTACCAATAAAAACAAATAATATGAAGTAACAAGACTAAAAAGAAGATGTGGAAAGTAGTGTGATTACTCATTGATATGATTATGAGCAATGATAATTTATGCTCGAAACATCATCAAGTAAATAATACCAGATCACTGTGTTATAAATCAAATAAACAGGTATATGTTTTTTGTTAGTAAGAAATAAAGGAGAACTGGTTAAGAACAAGAATTATCAACATTTAATGTGAATGTAGTAATAACTCTTCATTATATGCTACCTTGATAATTATCAGCTATTAATTGATACTGTTTCAGTCACTCATTTGAGAAATTCCTTGTCCTATTTCATTTATTATCCCGGTAATACTTTCTCAAAGAAGTCTATATCATTGCATTTCGGTTAGTTCGACAGTATTTCTGTTGGATACATACTACAAACTGCTCTGTATCTACTTAATATATCTTACTTCGATTATCAAATGTTAAGCAATGATGAAGGTGTTGCAGACTAGTTTCCAAAATATTGAGAAAGCGAAAACTGTGGTTCAAAGTCAGTGTTGATTTATATACAGTCATAAGTTGAGAAGGGGAGTGAAAAGAAACAGAATTAATACTAGGCAGCAGATAGTGTAACTTTAATTACCGACAACTATTAGGCATCAATAGAGGAAACCAAATAACAATTATGCTTGACCAACTCGGTCAGCCAATAACGGCAAGCTATAAGCTAAGCATCAAGCAGTACTCACTACACAAAATGGTTATGGTAATTTATCAACCTAGTGGATAATGCTTTGAAGTTTGAAGCGATATATTATCGGTTCAAATCTCAGTGGAATAAATAACATTTCGTGAAATACATTCAGATGACAAGTCCCGAACAGATAGAAACACACCTCCTGATTTCTAATACTAGTCACTATTCATCACTAGTATTAGATTGTGGAACGCTTGAAAAAATTTAGGCTCATTTGATCGAAATAAAATAAGATAGAGTCATCTTACAACTCTAAGGTATCAACCATAATTTCTAATCGAATCATGACCAGCTCTAAGACTGTGGAATGTCTACTGATCACGAATTACTTATCAATATTGCGATGATGGAGACTACTTGTAGCCCAGGAGGATAATTTCGATGGTGTTATGCTCTCTGAGTTGGATGGTTTAGTCGTGAAGCTTTTATTGTCATCATCAGCACAAACTTCATACAGAAGTAAGTTATAGGGTTTCCTCCACAAGTGGCTTAGAAGTGTGTCTTGATGGGCTTGTGTAGGAATGGCTATTTCTGTCAAATTCTTGGTCTTGCTGATGACCAGAAACCTGGCCTTCTCGTTTCTTATTGGTTGATAGATTGGGTCAATGCCAAGATGTCTGTTGACTGACATGAATACTAAGCTTCTAAAGATTCCCTGACATTCTTTGTATTTCCTCTGTTCAGGATTGACAAATTTTTCTAGTTCAATCCATGTCCACAGTTGTTTGTATGCATTCATATAAACGAAGATATGTCATGACACTTCACTGCTAGTTGATATTCATGCAGACAAATACGAATCAGGTGACCACCTTAGTGCTTTCACATAAGGTTGTTGTACCACAGTGTATTCATACTTTTTTAACATTGTTTTCATACATCGGATTTTGTATGTTATTGCTATTGTAGTTGAGGATTTGATGCGTATGAGTTGGTTTTCTGTGTACTTCAGTTTCCCATCTTCCCGAATCTGTCCCAGTGATCAAAGGATCTAAAAATGCAATTTTCTGAATTTAAATTCTCTTCAGTAGCGAAATTGGTGTCGTCGAAAATGTTGTTGACTAACTTGTAAGTAATCACAAACATAGCCATCAGGAAAAGCTACTTAATAAGTTGTAGAGAAAACTTCATAGCTCACTACTTTCTGAAGTTTGTGTTGATGATTTAGCCTGGAATGAGAATGAAAGTTCCACGATTTAACCGTGGAGCTCAGAGAACACAGTACCATCAATGTAGAATTCTACTTATATAAGCCATATATGACACCTTTTGTGTCTCTAAATGATCATTGTAAGCTCACTACTTCTGGCTGTTCTCACGACAACTGCGTTCAATTTGTTAGGATTTATGTTCTTTAGTAGGATGCTGACAACTGTTATCAACCTGCATGTGTGAGTTCCCTTAGGTTTTGGAGACAAAATTTCATACTCTTCCCATCATTATTACTATCACTATCGAAAACGCCGAGTCAAGAGAAAATACCTCCTATAGGAGCTGTAAGATTCAGAAAATCTCACCACTTGAGTTCTGTGTTTTTGACTTCTCGATAAACTGAATGCTTAGCTTACATTAGTTGGACACTGGAGACTAACCAATTTCATGTTGTCTGGTCCTGAAGGTTGGCTGAATTCTGTCGATCATGTGGTCACCAAGGTAAGAGGCTAATCACCGTGTTGCACTTTGATAGATGTTAGCAGGTTAAAGGTAGTCAACTAGAAGCTCTTACTGATCCGAGTTTCATGCTTTTCGACACTTATCAGCAACATATATCTATAACCTCGACGAAAGTGAGATTTAAACGTGTATTACCCGGTGCTTCAGTCATAGACTCTACCACTGAGCTGTAGTGCTAGCGCGAATTACATAATCTTTAAGTATATTTGTCAAGTTTTGGATTAAATTCTTCTATATAGTATTTCATTGATATACAATATCCATACATATTGTAAGTACCGATTAGATTGTCAGTGTTCCTAGGTTGGCTAAAACTTTTGAATGACGTAAGAAGATTGTTATTTCCAGTTCATTATATTTGATAATACACATAAAGTACACATTAGGAACTTCAGTAGAATCTATTTATGTACGTTCTTGGTCTAAACTAAGCCCTTTTACATGTCATGTTTCATGATTCCCTGCTTATCATCATCCTTTTTATTTATAATTATTTATCTAGGTATTATCAAGGAACAAACAGGAGATTATTCATTTACATTTTTATTCTCTGGATTGTGTAATGTGATTGCATCTATCATTATAACTGTACATGCTTTAATGAAATTCAACTTATTCAAAAGATTAAAACAAAAACTTTATAATAAATAAATACATGAACTTTCATCTTATTCATTGAACAATAATAATGCTAATACTGATTAGTAATCATTTTTCTACCGCAGTGTTGATCAACTTTATTACAAAATCAAATAAGATAATGAGTCTAAAGAAAAACGAAAAAAAACAAGTGAATATTGACAACAAAGAGAAGTGACTGATTCTTTACACTTTTTATTATCTAATAAATGAGATTACTTATTGTTTTAGTTAACTTATTATGCTAAAACAAAGTGAATATATAATTGGAGTGACTCCAAAGGTTACGACTGAAATAGCCAATTAGGTTTTCTTAAATTTTAGCTGGCAAGGTAATTTATCATAAAATAAAGAAGTCTTATTGGTTAATTCAGTTATGGTTAGGGTGGCTTTTTAAGTATGAGGATAAAACAACATGTAAATTAAGTTGAACTGAAATTACGACATGGGTTTGTAATATTTGTAAAGCGGATGAGATACATCATTACAATTAATTTAAAGGTAATATTCATCACAGACTGATATCAGTTGGGAAACCACTTGAAACCTAGGAGCACTGAACAGCTGTTTGTTCCTACTATGGGACTTGTCAGCGGTACGCACCTGCAGGGGATCGAACTCAGAACCTTCAAGTTTTATGACAAACGCGTTAGCCATCCAGCCACTAGATAGGTTTCTAGGGGTTCACAGTTTCCAACTTGTCAATTCATGATATAGCGTGACTACCACCCAAGGTCTTCAGTTGACATTCACTTTACTTCCGACTAGTTGACCCCACAAGTCATGGCTTTTCACTAGAACTTCGTGATATCCATCTCGAAGCATGTCATTATTGAGCACTATACAGTAATGTATTTTTGAGATGAATGGGGATTTTAATTAAGAGGTAGTATTCATCACGGACTGACATCAATTGGAGGACGATTGGAAATCTAGGAGCACCAGATGGGTGTTTCGCCCTAGTATGGGACTCCGCAGCAGAAAACTCAAAAATAAACTAGTTTAAACATAAGTTTGTATATTTTTTCAAGAACAGTTTCTCAGACTACGCTCCAGGCGATTTCGTAATAAATACTCTCTTGTCTTTCAAAGTCAAAAGGGTCATTCAGTAGCTTCCTTCTGTCTTCTACCACTGAAAAGTAATGAATGTTTCGTTTTGAAGGTACCTTAGTGGATTGCTTTCCTAATCATTATATTTTTATTGAGTATTTCTTCATAAATTATCCACTTCACGTCGATTTATATCTTCATAATGTAGTTTTTATTTTATTTTGTGTGGCGCATTTTTTGAAGTCAAAGGAGATACTAGCATCAGCTGATGATCTGAACAAAGCTAAAGGTCGAGAACAACTAGTTTTTTCTATTATAGAAATTCATAACCATTTTGCTTTTCAGTTGCTGATACAATACAACTAAGTAGCTTTGGAATTTGTCATCTTTAGGGTGTCATTTATTCATTCACCATATCGGAATCGAATCGTTGGCAAAAGTAACGTATGAGCATCGCTAAGGCAGAATTTTGAACTCGCGGTTATTTGAAAAAATAAATCACAGAATTGAGCATATGATTGTTTCTTGAATACAAATTTATCCAAAATCCTACAACTATCAAGGGTTAAAAGTTACGTAGCATTTTATTTACAGGATAAATGAGGGGCAGCTGATAGCTTAGCTGGATTTAACATAATCAATCCCCTTGATGAACTAGAATAATGCAATGAGAACACTGTTTGTAGAATAAGATGTTGTCATTTTATCTCACAGAGCTTTCATCAGCTGCATGAAACCTAAATAAATATGACATGAATATACAAAAGTGTAGGCGTTGAAGACGTGGAATGAAGGATGAAATCCCAAATGTCCAGCACAGATGAGTTTAGTCAATATAGACACATTTATGAGGAGAGGAAAGAGGTATTCTGGGATGAGTCACCGGAATTTAGATATCATGAAAGGCAGTTGAGGAATCATATAGATAGCTATGCATACAAAACTGACCGATGAGAAAAATCAGAAAAATATACTGAAGCTGGCAGCCGCGAAGTCAATGATAATGATAACAAGCAATCTGAGAATGATGAGGGTTAGAGAAGAAGAAAACTAAAAGTCTAAAAACAGGAGTTTGGAAAAAGATGGAATAGTTTTGAAGAATAAAGTCATCCATGGGAATTATAAACATGTTTTAGCGATGTGTTGATTTCAAGTTGATATTCATTGCGGATATACATCAGTTAGCTAACCGCTGAAAAACTGCGAGTAATGAGCAGCTGTCCTCTCCCAGTATGGAATTCCCCAGCAGTGCAAACCAATGGCCCTTCCAGAGATCGAACCCAGGACCTTCAGGTTTCTGCGGCGAGCACGTTACCATTAGATGAACTTAGCACTATATTGCGAATTGTGAACCATTGACTTCGGACCCAGTGGGATAACAACAACGTGATGCCTGCCAAAAACTTAAGGTTTTGGGTGCGACTGCGGAAGAGTCCTGTGCTAAGATAGAACAGCTCTCCATTGCCTCAAGGTCTCCGATGATTCTCCAACTGATTCTAGTCCATGATAAACACCAATCCTTCTTCCACTTGTACTAACCGCTTCCTTACTACTATTTTAATTCCGGGTTAAAAGTAGCATATGTTTAAGAGTTGCTCAAGGAATAGCTTAGGGACACATTGACCATTCAATGATCAAGCGTCAATAGATTAAATATACCTATAAAACACCGGATAAACTATACACCCAGTAAAAATATCAAAGAAAAATGGGGGATAAAAATAGTAGCGGAAACAGTAACAGATTAAAATTAATTGGTGAAGTATGTAAAGATATATCTTATCCAACAACACAAACGGTATACAATCGAAGACGGTCAGAGAATCAATCTCATTGAATATTGAATCAAAGACTTTATAGGCTAAAAAAGTATGAGACGTAAAAAGATATTTGTACGAGAAAAACGTAAATTCATCATGACTTATTAATAAATCAGCTAACTGATACACGTGTAGACATTGATAAACAATTGAAACTTACAGAGAAAGAACTTATACAAATGATGAAGTATATCGTACAATATCTTGTTAAAATATCCAGTTTGTATTGATTCATAGTCAGACAAATCAATTTCTATGATTGGCGATCTGTTCGCTGATTTTCATGTTTTACTTAATTTAATATTCAATGCTTAAGGGGTCAACTAGATCATCAGAAGTATTTATTTCATTGATCTTAGGAGTTAGTCAATTGAAACAATCAGTTTATTATTAGCTAATAAAATGAAATATTAACATAATTATGTAGTAATCATGAATGTATATTTCACGTCATTATGGATTTTTAGATGAATGCGAACAACACTATAGTCGACGTTTATGGAAATCAACTATGAGTACATTCGATTGTCTACAACTTCCTGTTATCATTGATGATACAAAATACATACAGTAAGTAGTGGATTGATATCATGTATACAATATTCAAGTAAAGTGAAATGAGTACAACTCAAATATTATCTATGATTTAATTCGACGATCAATGTTAATACTAGAGATAATTTATTATTGACACATTTAACATGATCAGAACTATTAAATAATTCATTTGGTTAGCAAATCAATTCATGAGGTTTAGATAAACGGTATTATTATTATTCTTTTTCCCTTGGGTTCCTAGTGGAACATAGGACTTCAGTAGCACGCCTCCATTGCACTTTGTTGAATTCAGTTTTTTGAACCTCGCCCCACGACTGACCGCAAGTTGTCATTTCTTCCTCACATGATCTCCTCCATGTCCCCCTCGGACACCCAACTCGTCGTTTCCCCTTTAGATTCCACTCGAAGGCCTGACCTGGCGCGTGATGTCCCCAGTCAACCTTCTCAGTGTATACCCAATCCAATCCATCTCCACTTTCTTCTGCTGATTTTTTGGGTGATAGGTTCTAGGTTAGTTCATTCCCAGAGTTTCTTGTTGCTTATTCTTACTATTCTGGCCATCTGATCTGATCTTCAGTATCGAATGAGCGTGGGTGGCAGCTGTTCATGTATGATGTCCACAGTTTGTTGGAAATGCTTTTCGTAACACACCAAGTCTCTCAACCACCACATTGAAGCACTGACTTGACTGACATTACTGTTGGAAATCTGGATCTTGTTCACTCTTAATGCTGAGTGCAGTGCAGTAGATCTCCACACTGATTTCAGGTTAATGAAGGCCTGTCTTACTGTCTTTCCGATCCTGGCTTTGAACTAAAATTCTATTGAATTGAAAACCAGATTCATTTATGCAACTGGTTGTTCATGATTGAAGTCCGGGCATTGATAATAATAAAAGAATAATAGGGCCAATATGGACCTCCTTTTCCAGTTTATCTGAATAGTTCTTGTACTTAGGACATTAGGAAATTGTCAATGAAATTTGTAGATGATCATGTACGAATGAATGGGGCTTAATCATGTTTAAGCTGATTATTATATTTTGTTGATTTTCCCGTAGGGTACCTAGTGAAACATAGGACTTCAGTAGCACGCCTCCATTACACTCTGTTCTCAGCAGCCTTTTGAACCTCGCTCCATAACTGCCCCGAAGCTGTCATTCATTCCTCACACGATCTCCTCCACGTCACCCTCGAAAACCCAACCCGTCGTTTCCCCTTTAGATTCCACTCGACGACCTGGCCTGGTGAGTGATGTCCCCAGTCAACCTTCTCAGTGTATTCCCAATGCAACCCATCTCCACTTTGTTCTGCATATTTGTTGGGTGATAGGTTCTTGGTTGGTTCGTTGTCAGCTACAGTGAGTTCCTTGTTGCTTATTCTTTCTGGCCATCTGATCTGATCTTCAGTATCGAGTGACCGTAGGCGTAGGCGGCAGCTGTTGATGAATGTCTGTAGCTTGTTGGAAGTGCTTTTCGTAACACATCAAGTTTCTGAACCATATAGCAGCACTGACTCGATGTTGATATTGAAAATCCGAATATTTTTCTTTGTGCTGAGTGCAGTAGATCTCCACACTGATTTCGAATTAATGAAAGCCTGTCTTGCTTTTCCGATCCTGGTTTTGACATCCTCGTCTGTGCCACCTGTAGTTGAAACGATGCTGCCTAGGTAGGTAGGATACGTGAAAGAAATAACTTTGTTTATGTTTCTCCCCTTAGTGGTGATTGGTGCTTGTTGTTGATGCTGTTGCTGGTTAAGTATTTTCATCTCCGTCTTCTGTACATTCACTTGAAGTCCCGCCTTCGCTGCCCTGCCTCTTCTGTCAACTTGTTAGTTTTCGCCTGTAGATCGTTTAGTTTGTGCGACATAAAACAGACAAAAATCATCGTCGCTGGCAAAATCCAAACCTTCTAGGGTCTTTTCAGCTGTCAAACAGCGTATGCCTATCTTCCTGCTCCTAATGGTTTGCCGCATGATCCAGTCCACTACAATCAGGAAGATCATTGGTGATAGTAGGCGGCAGTCTTGTCTTACTCCTGTCTTCACTTCAAAGGCGTCACTAAGCCTCCCACTGTGGATCACTTGGCATGTGGCGTCTTCATTTAGATGTTGAATGAGGTTGATAAAGATTTGTGGTACTCCGTCGTGTTGAAGCAGAAACTCGCAAATTACTTCTCGGTTTACGCTGTCGAAGGCCTTTTCAAAGTCGATTGAGCTTAAATTTGGTTGAGTTGATTGCCATTCTATACTCTGTTCAATGATAGATAAATGGTATGGTGAAGATGTAATTGAAAATTGTTGTCAACATTTAAACTTTCGAGAATTTGAAACAACTAGTCCTTTTTATGAATCTGGATAATGTAATTAGAAGACGTAGATTATCTGAAAAATGTGATGTATTAGCGCTATACATTTCGAACAATCTGATCACACATTTACTTGTTAAGGCATTATATATGAAAACTGGAAGTGGGGGAAGGATACATATGACATAAAGACATTCAATAATAAGAAAGATGATGAGAGGAATAAAAGTTAAGATTTGAAGACAATCTTGATAATACGATAAAATAAGCATTACCAAGGTAGGCTTAATGTAAGGATAAACTGTTTTTGCACACACAATGGGGGGTTAAATTTATTTATGGCTAGCACCTCAACAAACTTAAGTATACGCTCCTGACAGTTTCGGTACAAAATTGTAAAGGCTGTTTTGATATCAATTCTGTGACTCTTATCAATGATATGTTTCGCAATGGATGATGATGATACCAACGGAAACATTAGTGGAAAATGGATATCCATTGAAGTTCATAAACCGCTGCAAAAATCAGCGGGGATTCAAACCTGATCTGTGCTCTGTTTCGAAGAAATGCGTTTACATCGCGTTACCATACAGAGGAGAATCTAATAGCATAGTATTAAAACGAAGGTTAAGGTCTGCTGTTAGCAAAATGTACTATGCAGCTAAGCTTATCATAGTTGAGAAGACCAAACACCTGCGGCTACCTAGACCTCAATGCTGTATAAACGATTGCGTCACATCCCACTGCGTTTATAAATTTACATGTGTGTGTGGACAAACATACATAGGGAGGACTAATCGTGATATGCACTTGAGGGTAGGGGAACATGTTCCAAAATGGCTACGAAAGCAGTTGGACTAACAAACATTGATAAGCGCAGATGGCAGACAACCATCATCATCCATTGCGAAACATATCATTGATAAGAGTCACAGAATTGATATCAAAACAGCCTTTACAATTTTGTACCGAAACTGTCAGGAGCGTATACTTAAGTTTGTTGAGGTGCTAGCCATAAATAAATTTAACCCCCCATTGTGTGTGCAAAAACAGTTTATCCTTACATTAAGCCTACCTTGGTAATGCTTATTTTAAATTTTGAGGGGGTTGTGGAGATTTGGAAATATTTCAAGTTGTTATTCATCGAAGACTGATATCAGTTGGAGGAACAAAGGAAACCTGGGAGCACTGGACAGCTGTTTCGTCCTAGTATGGGACTCCTCAGCAGTGCGCACCCACGACCCCACTAGCAGGGATCGAACCCGCGACCTTCAGGTTCCGCGACCAGCGTGTTACCATTGAGCCACTGGGTCAGAATCCAATGCTCCATATTTCCAACTTCTTGTCAACTGATGTCCAACTGATGTCAGTCTTCGATGAATAACAACTTGAAATGCTTATTTTATCGTATTATCAAGATTGTCTTCAAATCTTAACTTTTATTCCTCTCATCATCTTTCTTATTATTGAATTCCTTTATGTCATATGTATCCTTCCCCCACTTCCAGTTTTCATATATAATGCCTTAACAAGTAAATGTGTGATCAGATTGTTCGAAATGTATAGCGCTAATACATCACATTTTTCAGATAATCTACGTCTTCTAATTACATTATCCAAATTTAAACTTTCAACAAATTATTCCTTTACATGAATTATACAAAATGAAGATTCTGAATTTAAAACAAACGAATGTATGTTAACTATCTGTACAACAGTAGAGCACCAAACAGTGTGATGGCTAAGGATTTTCTAACTTTAAAAAATATGCCAAGTAAGCGAAGAAGCCTCATTTACAAACTCTTCATATGGAAATCAATCACCAAATAGTAATTTACAATTAACCAATTATTATTTTCATCATATACTACTTAATCAAAATGGATATACTATACAAAATGCCTTTTAGAATAAGAGTATACATAAATGTATACATGTTCTATGTCTACATTAAAACAAGGGTGTTCTGATTAACCTTGAAAAGTCTCTGTATTGTATGATTTGAATTCCAAATAAAAATGCAAAGCTCTCGTGTGAATAGGCAAAACGAAACTTTGTTTGTCTCAACTGTACAAATAGATCGTCTTATCGTATATAATTGTATTGAATTCTCATGTAATTATTAATTGTTAGATGCATCTTATATTCTGATATGAAGTTAAATGTTCAATATTAGTCACTAAATGTATTAAAGAAAACCAGTTCAGCGAAGATATTATTTTTTAGCGATTTCATTCTCCATAACTGTAGAATCGCGATTTATACAGTTTTTAGTCAACTATATTCTCCAGACGTCCAATGTTTACTGAAAACCCCAAAGATACGCTTCCATATCTAACCGCTTTCATGTGTGTTTATTAAGCCACCTACTATTACGGAGCTAAATATGTAGGTTGTCCGATTCATATTCCTTCTAAACCAGTTAGAAAAGAATACCTCATCTGAATCCATCAGAAAGGCAATAAATGAACACTTTGTCAGTACCAGTCATAGCACCACAAGTAATTCAGCGATGAAAGTCATCTACAAGGTGAAAAGAAATTTACCAGAAGTGTTGCATTTCTGCCTCCTTTGAACTGCAGAAACTCTTGCTATATCCATAGAGAAACCGGAATTATGTGTACACACGAAACTTGTTCAATCTTTGTTACTACCTTGGGACTTCTTGAGTTACTTCAAAAAATATATCGACCTGTATCTCCCTATTATTATTATTCACAATCATGTTATATTTTATGATGAATTTTACAAACCCAACATCGTTCTCACCTTGTTTCCATGTTACGCTCGATCATACTACGTTGGAAATTATTTTTTTACATATTATGCAACTTTAAATTCTATTCGATTAATTATGTTAGTTCCTATGCACATTTGTGATTAATTTTCACCTTACATCATATTTGTAAAGTTTAAATCTTTATTCAACTTGATCATTGTTACTAGGCTTAATTAAATCATTTTTATAACTATCCAATATAGCTAAGCGAAATAAATGTGTAAATTGCATTTACACACCTACAGAGAATGAAATCGCCGAAAAAGATATCTTCGCTGAACTTCTCATTTTCTCCAATATCCTGATGAGTGCTTTCAATCATTCGAACAAAACTATATCATATTATTAACAGACTGTAAATATTGAATGAAAGGTCTTTAGTCAAAAAGGAGCCACTAAATAGTTATACTGGATACAGGTTGCATAAATTATGTGCACAGAGAATGATAAGTAGATTGTTAAATAATTTGTGAAAACGATAGGCATTTCTAAGCTCATTGAAATTTAAGGAAGTGGTTTCATTTGAAACTACGGCTTTTTATACAGAATATTTTAGTGTCCATTTAAAGAAAGTGAAATTAGTTATTACTATCTACTCATATACTCGCGATTCTCCGTTGTTTTATTGGGTCGAATTGTTCGACCTCTATTGGAATATGGGCTTCTATGCAGATGCCTCAATATTGCCTAAATGTTAATTATGGTAATTTGCTTGGTTGTGGTTAGCAGAGGAACCCAGGATGCGCGTCCTGTACTGCTTGAAACTCCTCAGCCTGATGTACTTGGACCCCAGTGAGTATTGTTCCCACCGAGACTCGGACCTCGTGCTTATCGGTTCAAACGCCGAGGCCGAACGATTCGATCCAATGAAATAACTGGAAATCACAAGTATATCAATAAATGGTAATAACTAATACCCGTTGTACAAGAAATGGCTGTCGTGCCTCTGTGGCATAGTGGATCACGCCTCGGCGTCTTAGGAGCGATGGGTACGAGTCTCGGTGGGGACAACAACACTCACTTGGGTGCATGTGCATCCAGCTGACGAGTCCCAAAGAGGATGAAACATGCGTCCCTGATTCTCTTGCTAGCCACAACCAAGCAAATTAGTGAAAGTAAAATTAGGTTTATAAAACGTACAACCATGGTGGGACTGCATACGCAACGGTCGCAAAATGTTCCATAAACTTATCTGAATATTAATGAAACCATAGTCACTTTTTATGTAAAAATTGGAAGGAACACAAAGTAACTATTCATGGGTGATACAGAAGGTTTTTCTGCTAAGGAATAGAAGTGTGGGAGTCACGAATACAGAATGAAACATGTTCCGTACATACTTTCGAAAGGACACACATTGCACATGTGGGAATCAGTGTTGTAGACATTTGCTACTTATTGGCCTGCGTTAAAATAATTTGGACTAAACAAAATTAGCGGTATTTATTCAGTCGGCCTGAAGACTTCGTTGAACAGCTGAACGACATTATAGTTACTTTAAGGCTGTATGTGTTAGGTCGTTATTTCCAGGACTGGTTACAACTCTTTGTATAATACTCTGTAATCATTTATTGAAGAACTAACTGGAAGCAAATATTAACTGGTTGAAATTCTCAAATACTGCTACATACGGTCTAGTCCGCAGGACAAGGGGAACTAATGATTGGAGACTCTAGGTGATATGGCTGAAAACCGATGTCAGTGGTGCAGACATATACATACATTATCCTCACCTTAACGACGCTATACCGAATCTCACCATTTTCTTATTTTTCCTTTCTCTTTTCATACTTTATATTTATTTTCACTGAATTTTCTTATCTTCATCTTGCATCTCACTGCCTTTTTACTTGATGTAGTGATATGAGCTGTGGTAACTCGGACCGTTATGCAGTAATGCCTGGTCCTATGTTGATATTGACGATGATGACATACAGTCTAAGAACCTATATCTATATATTTCGATTGTTTGAATTGAACAGTGTAGTTACATATTTGTGATAGGTTAGAAAGACGCATGGGTTATCCAGATAAACTTACAATACGGATAAAATAACGTGGGAATTCCAGCATATGAATAACGTCGTTTACCGATTGGCAGCATTTCAGAGAGACAGATAAAACCAATGTAGGACCTCGCACACTAGTGCATCAGTTCAAGTTGACACATTTCACAGATGTACACCAAGAAAAGGTGGAAAGAAAGACTGGTATCAAGATAGACATAGGTGTATGGGGTGAGAGAGAATTCGAAAATTAGTTCTAGTCAAAAGCTTTAGAAGACACAAAACAGTGAATAAAACCGCGTCTTTCTAACTAATATTCAACCAAATCACTAATAGTCATCAACCGCTAATTCCTTTTGTCTCAAGAATCCCAATCAGGCAGTCTACATCCCTCAACACGTCTCAGAACAAGTCAGGCAATTCATCGACTGGTGCCACGTCTTGGTCTGGACATCCTGAACTCTCATCCAACTTCTCATGGTATGTCACGTCAATGTAGGTGGTGGCTCTATATGAGTGAAACACCTGCAATGCACTTCAGTCGATGAAGGTTCACAACCTTATCCACTGAGTTCCTTTCCTTGCTTAGAACCCGTCGTTTGACCTCAACATTCTTCATATGGTCATTTCGCCAGACGCGAACGATGCTACAAAGACATCTGTGATCGAAACCCTGTAGTCGATTCATATCTTCTAGTTTCAGCAGCCATGTCACAGTTGTATAACAGGATACGACGAACTGTAGTGCAGTATACTCGTCTTTTTATGGATAAACATTGTTAATTCATTTAGTCTTTGTCATCAAAACAATTCAATAATCAAATTGTCTGAATGTACGTGCGTAAATGTTATGGAAAATGTACATGTTATTCGTTTATTCATGAACAATAATTGATCGGTATTGTTTGTTTGTTTTTTAAAAGTCCAATTTGAAATGGTGACTTTTTTAATGTTTTCGCCGGATAAGAGTTTGCTAGACAGATGACAAATCTATTCCTTCCTTTTTGTTTAAAGGAGTTGAAGTTGAAAAGTAAAAGTTAAAATATTCAGGGCTTCCGAGGTCAATCTTTATATGAAAGAAAATCCTTCCCTAATATATCTATGTTGTCAAAATCAATCTTGTGCGGACTTCATTCTTTGTGTAAATGGCATACACAGAGAAACGTTCACAAGTCTTGTTTTTGACTTTATAAACATGCTAGGATTATATTTAAACTTACTTATACAATGTTGTTGCTTGTATTAGCCTATCGTTGATTGGACTGAATTTATCGGTTCCTATCGGCATATGGGCTCCTATGCGGATGCCCTGATAGCATTCGGCCCCGAGTTTGAGTGGCAAAAAAACAAGGCTCACTGGAAGACCGGTACATCCAACTGACGATCCCTAAATCAGGTGAAATGTGTGTCCTGGATTCCACTGCTAGCTACTATTCATCACCAGTTACTTACAAAATGATTAAACCTGACTCGGGGCTCAACATTTTTCAGGACATTTCTAACAACTACGCCCTAGATATTTATTACATACTACTTAACTTCATGATTATTATTATTATTATTGTTATTATTATTATTACTATTATTAAAATGGACATAAGTTAACAGCATACTTGTCTTTTATCATCACCATAATTATTGAATAGATTAGTTTTAAGCCAGAGAAGGATATGAATACCTTCAATCTTCTGATGGCGATTAAAAATAATAAAAGGAAGATAGATGAGAATTTAAGATATGTACAGATAGATCTACAGAGAAATCTTAGCATAAGGATACTTTTTTTCACAACTATTAAAAAGCAACTCAATCAATGGATATTTTTAAAAGAAAGTTGGGATATAGGCAGAAAAAAACACCTCTAAAACATTAATCAATAAGTAAAAACAAAAACGTTTATTGCAGATCTCATAAATGCAATGAAATACAAGTAGGATTAGGGACTTTCCACTTTACTTTATATATATATATATATATATATATATATATATATATATATATATATATATATATATATATATATATGCTTATATACTTATATACACGGAAAACGCTGATGAACAACATTAGGCAAAATCACATATATAATGATCTTGAATAAGCGAAGAACGGTACCCACAGAAATAAACCAACAACATAATTCCCTTGTTGTGTGAGATTAGAATTAGGGTAGACTATGTACATGATGGTCAATCCCTAACGTATATGATTTGTTAAAGTTAACAATGTAAAAAGAAATAAGGTACTGGAATGAATTTGTGAATGTTATCTGATTGCTGAGGCAATAAAAAGTCTAGTGTAATCAACTATTCTTGCTTTCATTTTTCTTTCTCTTCCCTCCTGATCCTCCACTGACTGGTTTTTCTTTGCCTGTTGTTGTCTTCGTTGTCGTCTTCGACGTCAATATTTTCTTGTCAACAAGAGTAATGGTCATATTTTTTGCACTGTTTGAAAAATGACGTTGACGTTTAGAATTTCTGTAAGGTTGATTACGACCACCTCGTGGTTGTAAACGTGATTTCTATTCAAACCAGATAAAATAGAAAAAAAGTATGCAATAAACAATGGTAAACATATGAACACAGGTATTTATGAGATATTGAAACCTGGTCAATAAAGAAGTTTCAGATCTTGGCTTATAAAACGCCAGTTTAAGACGTCAGATACTGATGGTTCATATCCTGTCAGGACTGAGGCTTGGCTCAGCTTTAAGGAGAATTTTTTGTGGTACACTATTCATTAGGCTTTACCTTAGAGTTGAATAAGTCACTTCAAGAGTGAGTGTTCGGCTATTTGAAGGCTTGTTCCTATGGATGTGTTGTTGTAGCTAGAGCATCAACTTACAGAGAAAAACCACGCTGGTAGGATAGATACCAGTTGATAACCCTATGATAACAGCACGAAATTTAGCTGAATATATGTATATAAAATAAAGATGGTAAAACTTGCGGATTTCTAACTGTATTATCTACCAAATGACTAATGTTCGAACGATGCAAAGGATGAGATGTACAAAAGGCTGTTAATTTTGCCACATATAACAAAACGTTCAGATGTATCTATACTGGCAGGCGAAATGAATTCCTAAGTGGGAAAGCTGAGTCAACTGAAAACGCATATTGAAGGTACCTACCGAATTCTATGCCGAAGAACCGATAACAGTGGTCACATCCCACAATTATGTCAATCTAGTCACTTGTGCCTGGTAAGTAGGAACTTCAAACATAAAAACAAACTTTGTCTGACATTATATCTACCGACATCAAACCAATAGTGGACACGGACAGATCTTATCAATGTTGGGAGATTGGCAGTCCTTTTGGAGCATCTGTTTAGAATAAAATCACGCGTTAGAATGAGCAAGTATATGCTGGCGTCTCATTGGTCGCAGGAAACAAATAGCAGTCAAACCCGAATATGCTTGGATGGAGGATGAAAACAGCAAGTATGTATTTACAAAGTAGACAGTCATGGATTTATCTAAGCAAAGCAGGAATTCTGTGACTGATGAGGTCTGGCGTAATATTCAGTCTGTGTTAGAAACAGTGGTAAAGAGCGTAATCCAAATCAAAGGCCTAGCAAAATCCAGTAGTTTCCAGCAAACTCATTCAAACTGTTTGCTTAGGAAGAATTATTCCAGATCGCTCTGACCGATCTGAAGAGAAAAACCATCTTAAAACTGGACTAACTAAGAATTCTCGTGATGCTAATCGGCCAGGACAAAACACGACTACCCTTTAGAACAGGCTGTCAGAACCTTGGCCACAATGTGCTGGAAAAGAGTTCGGTCAACATACAACCACAATTCAGCTGCACAAGACTAAGCTCGAAGCCGAGTGAGTCGCTACCGTTAATCAAAACATGCTCTAAGTTGAGAAAGCCGTTTGCAACATGAAACGAAGTAAGGCAAAAGAAGCTGACAGTTTGACACGATGAGTCTTTTATGGAAGTAAAAAGTCACCTAATTGAGTAACCAAGATACTGATTAGTGTATGATGATCAGCAGAAGTTACATCAGACTGGTTCGGGTCAGTGCTCCTCTCAGTTTAGAGAATTAGAAAAAGTCTTCCTGTACCAACCACAAGGAAATCTGTTTGAAAAACTGTCTAAGACCATAGGGTTCATAGTTATCTAACACCTAACTAACAGTATCATGATTCTAACCCAACTTTATAGTTGGGCTCGTGAACCGATTCCAAGTACCTTAAACTCTTCAGGAGACGAAGTACTGCCTGAATGGCATCCGAATGACTTACTGCACACAAAAGTAATCCTCTTAGGTAAAAACGCTGAGAGAATACAAAGTTTTCTGAGTACCTTTAGCAGAAATCTAAGTACGTTTGAGATAGGTTGCATGAGGTTGTGAAATTTCACTGACTTAAGTGATTTAAATGTGTTGTGTATGCACAGCTATCGGTTAGCTAGACGTGCAATATTAGCTAAGGTTGGATTGAGTTAGAAGGCTTAAAGTGACCGGATTAGGACCTGGACCAGTCTCTATGTAGGGCGGTTTAGACTCAATGGTTGAGGTCCTTGAAACGACAGGAATCAACAGTTGGAGAACCTTGACCTCAGAAGCTTCTTCATTAGCATACTTGGAGCAAAATTCCGTCTGATTGATCGCATGTTTCACCTTTATCTGATGTGGGTTACCATGAAATATATCAGCCAGGATCGGAACCAATGGGTCGCTTTCCCAAGAATCTAATACTAAGGGATCCATATGATTGATAACTGACACAGTCATGACAGCCTTAAAGTGTTCAAGGCGATCCAAAAGGGAAGAGATCTGAAGCCAATTACTTTTCACCAAAGCAATAGTCGTCAAGGGACTCCAGCCAAATCGATGTACTCGAAAAGATACAGCCGTTAATCTCATACTGTCGTGGTAATTTGCTTACAATAAAATAAATATAAGCCCTTGTTACGTCCTTCTATCAGGTACATTTTGTTCTGTTGCACAGCTTAATATTTTATCTGAATTTCGGCTCCTTAAGCTTTTGTATATTCAAAACATTCCGGAGTTATGCAACCTACGCTTATTATTTTCTATTCACCTGTCAATCTTGTTAATCAAGAACATTCGCCTAATAATCCAATAAAAAATCGATCTTCCTCTTGCATTCCTAATGACCTTTTCTACTTTAATCATTTGCCTTATCTATGTTATCAGTTGATCCTGTCAATAACTTTCTTGTCAACTTGATAAAAGTACGTTCAATTCTCGTAATGTTTACATTTTGATTCTGCCACTTCAATATGCATCTATCAATTCAACTGTTAATGTGGAGTTAGTTACGTTGGGCGTACAATGAGGCAGTTCCATCGTCGAATTTCTGAGCACCACTCATAATGGTTGAGCAAGGGACAAATTAGAACAATAAAGAGCTCCATACTTGCACACCCAGTTGACACAGGACATCAAGTGGATACCACAAAAGCTTTCGAAGTCATTCATCAGATTCCAATTGATTTACCATATGGATTATGCACTCGCTTACTTCACATAGCAGAGGCGATTGGTATCCACCTTTACAAACCTGGTCTCTGTATTCAAAAAAACGTTTGTTCGACCACTTTCATTACCGTGGCCATCAACATGATGTAACTTCTAGGATTACTTTGTATGCCTCTTCCCCTTCTTGTTTCTATCAATATTCACTTGTTTTCTGATCATTACGTAATCGTTTGTTGTGAATGACTGAACACTCATCGAAAATCACTTCATTTACCTAAGAATAGATTGCTTCAAATTTCCAATTGTAGTAGCTTCGTCGATTATTTACATCATTATTTCTAAAACATAACCACACGATTGGTGATTTGATTAAATTGTAAAACTGTATATTAGTGTAGAGCCTAAGATGAAAACCTAATTGAAAAGGAATATATTCTTTGCTCAATCGGTCTTTTTTAAAGTAATTATTATTTAGGTTGTTAGCAGTTAAGAATACTTGAAACGATAAAGATGAAAGCTTGCCTTTTGGAGAAGTTTTCCCATCTTCGAACAACATGAAGCGTGTCACCCAGCTCAGAGAAAACAATACAACCAAGACAATAAAGATGAGCCAGAATTATCCTACTATACTTGTTGCTTTTACCCCATTTAAGTTCGTAAATGAGACGAACTTTATGAAATCTGATAATACCACAATCTTCCATTCAAAGGACAGATCAAATTGATGACCAGCGAACATCATGAATAGGCTTAAGTCAACAGATACCAGCTACTGCCTGATTACAACGTAATCCTTCAACGCTCATTATGTAAACTGATATCTTATACTTCATTATGGAAGTTGGGTGTGTGTTGATGAGGAAATAGAAAAACACGAAGAAACAGCTGATAGACATGCTAATTGGTTTTCAAGACCATTTTTCAACTGAGGTCACTTTTGATACTATTGCTTGCAATTCATCGTCATTGATTGGACCAAACTGATCAGCCTCCATATTGGGATACGGACTCCTGCGCGGATGCCCCAATATTGCCTGTAGTTTCAGTTTGGTAGTAATGATGGGTGAGAATAACACCGCTCACAGGTAGGCGGATACATCCAGCTGATGAGTCACAAAGAGGATGAAACATGCATCTAAGATTCCACTGTTAGACACCATCCATTATTACTACCAAAATGAAACTGTAGGCAATATCGAGGCATCCCATATACTAATGCAGACCGATCGATTCGGTCTAATCAACAATGGGAATTTACAAGCAATAACATTAAAACTATATCTGTCGCACAAGATGTGGGGCTACGATGACTCAGTAGATAGTGCTCTGCATTAGAGTCGATCAGTTTTGAGTTTGAATCTTAGTGGAACAACATCCCTCACTGGTAGGAAGGTACATTCAGCTGACGAGTTGCAAACCCGACGAAACGCGCATCCTGGATTCCACTGATAACTACTATCCATCATTACTACCATACAGGTCATTTTAACTTTAAAAAGTTTGGGGAAAAAACAATAAATAATAAATGCATTGAAAATTACTAGTTAAATAGAGACTAACTACATAGTAATGGTTATCAGAGATCTAACTTACTTTAGTTTCCAAACCAAGATGGTAATATCGCGGACGCTTTAAATCCATAACTAAAGATCTTAATGGTTTATTTTTAATAAATAACTCTCCTGTTAAAATATCCACTTGGATCTCATCGGCATCCATTTCACTTCGTGATTGTATGGTTAGCAATTCATCTGGAATACTGAGTTGTTTAAGTTGCTTCTTCGATGGATCTGAATTTAAACCAGTTTTTGATGAATTTAACGTTGAAAAATCATCCAGAGTTGTAAGTATCTCACGTCGTTTTCTCAACTCAGTCGGTTTTTTGAGTTCATTCGACGTTTTATTTCCTTCTATATGATTAGAATGCTTGGATGACAGTAGATTTAAGCTATTTGGTGATGAATGTATAGTCGGGAAATTATTTAAACTTGCTATTATCTCCAGTTGGTTTTTTGACTCACAAGGTTTATCGGATGCTATATACTGTTCGCTGTAAGCAGAAAAGTCTAACAGAGGTAAATTTACAGTAAGTGATGGTGAGTGCATCACTGAAAAGTCATCGGAGTTTAAGATTTGAGTATGCTGACTTTCTGATTCAGAGGAATTATTATTGTGTTTATCTGAAGTCGAATTTGGCTTATTGTTGTGAGAATGTTCGAAAAGAGGTGAGCTTGCAGTAGACAATAATGAATGTTCCATCGAAATCTCACTCGACTCTTCCAGTTGTACATTTTGAATTATCGAATCAAGAGGATTATTGCATTCGTCTGGAGTAACACATTGTCCACTACTACCATGAGAATACTTGGAAGTAGGCAATTTTACACTCAGTGAAGGCAAATCAACACGATTGGATTCTGAAAAGCCAGTAAGACGTTCAAGAGTAACTGATAAATTAGGTAATGAAGAGAGATGTGAAGTAGTGAAAGAAGATTGAGCTGTTGAATATACGTTTGTGTTTTTATGTGATTTCTTCCGAATGGACGCAGAAGTTATTAACTTTTCATGTCTAAACTAAAATAGGAAATTTAGGGAATGCAAAATGGATGAAGTTTTAGTAAAAATTGACATAGGAAAACATGTATCAATAAGATAATAGCATCAGGTATATTAATTACCACGATACTAGAGTAAAGCTTGTTTACGATGCAATAATGAAGTGAACAATTTCAAAATCAAATGTTCATCTTCAAGTAATATAGAGATGAAGGAGGAGATAGCAGAATCATAAACATACATTGACAGATGTGAACCAAAATTCCACATTCATTTAAAAAGGAGTATAAGTGAAATGACAAGTGAGTTACTATGATCAAACTAATGTATACTATCGATTCCAAAGAAGCCAACCTAACATTGAATTATATGATGGAAACTGTAAGGCCTTCCTGATGACGTTTCTGCGATAAATTGTAATACCAAGATACAGAATGTATGATGCTATCTGATTTCCAAGTGACATATAAGTTGAATAAATTTGGTCATGTGACCAAAACGTTGGATACCTACATCGCCGAGACATAACACAAGGAAATAGGATATCTTTTTCTGAGTTTTGAGCAATCAATTAACCGAAAAGATTCATTGGGGATTTAATATTTCCTGTTAGTAACTGTGATGTGTGCGCTATGTTAAACTTTTAAATGTTGTTTGAGGTAAACAAATAAATCAGTACTTTAAGATAAACATTCATCTGAACTCTCTAAACAACTTGATGACATTTAATTGGTCTCAGGTTGTTGTTTAGACAAAACACGGAACATATTGCCGTAACGTTTAGTTAGTGACAAAGTACAGTAAAAAGAAGCATATGTAAGTATACTAATAAAATAAATTGAACTGACGAAATGTAATTGTATACCTATGGTTCTATGCTGTTTAGCTGTACGAGAAGAGAAGTAGATAGTTCAGTAATAACAAATGTACTTGATCACCCAGACAAACAAGAGTAGTGAATTGTGTTATCAAACGACACAGTAACTTTGGGAACGTGTGGTTAGTGAATATTTGGCTCATTGGCTTAAACACTTTCCTTTTCAACCTATTCAGGCGGGTACAAAATTCGATACTCTCCCCCTTCAACATAGACAACCAAGTAGTATGAAAAGCTCTTAGACAATAAGTGTTGCTCATAGTGTAGCACACTAACACCTGCATTGACTTGAGTTGCACTATTTTAATCCAATCAGATAACTATTGAAGGAAGCCTAATTTGCGTGTGTGAATTCAAACATGATCAAGTTTTTCTCTCCCCCAAATTAGTCATTCTTATGATATTACGGTGAAAAATGTCCTTGAGTGTGTGACCCAACTGGAGTGGTTGGAATGCATACAAAACAACAAATCACTACTTACTTCAATGTGCGATGCTGATTGAAGATCAGATTGGAAGATAAATAAGGAAGGTCAGAATCGGATATAACGGCAGCACAATAGATGACTGATTTTCGAAATGAGTCTTCTTCGAAGTAGAATACCCATTTGCAGAAAAGCGATTACAAGAACTAGTAGTTGAAAAGTTCAGGTGGTAAAAATCAAAGCCGATAACACAGTAGATATGAAGTCACCTTTTAACTTCCTACAGCTATTGAAGACTTAATCGAAATCTAATGTTGTACGCTGAGATTAACCATTGTAAAAACCAAAAGTCATGAAATCAATTTAACAATTAGATGAAGTCAAACATGATTTCTCTGAAGCATAAAGGTAAGTCAAAATGAAAACAAACAACACTTACACTAGAATGATTGGCCGAAGTATGAAGCCTTTGACGTTTAGCTTTCCGAGCATTGGATGGTGCAGTTGAACTTGTCTCTGGAAACTGTGAGGGTTGAAGCCTATATAAAAATGAGAGGAAGAGAAAAAGGATATATTGCAAACATTTAGGGATTCTCAAGTTCTAAGTGTATTAGAAGAAAATGGGCGATAGGAATTCTTTCGACCGTATGTATGTGTCGATCAGGGCATCGAAAGTCATTCGGTAACCTTGTGCACGTTTGTGGAGTCGGCAATGCGCCACACCCATTGTGCGATGGCTAATGATACTACCTGGCTGCCCAAACCTCGGTAGGTGGAGGAGTACTCAAGCATGCGATCCACTGGTTAAAGTCAACTCCCTAAACCAATGACCAACAACTCTATGATCGGTCAAAGTAGTGCAGAGGCATTCAGGCCTTAACCATAATAACATATTTGGTTATTTCGTTTACCACCCATTTCTCCGACAGCTATTGATCAAGATCTTTTCATTCCCTGACAATCTTGGGCGTGATCGGAGTTAAAACAGATACTCCAGAAGGGGCCACAATCCTCTACAGATTCTATCCATGGTTGGTTTGAAGTCGGTGGATACCAAGTGAAACGGTGTCTTTTCTTATGCCTAAAGTTAGTACTGGCCAGAAGCAAGTGATTGTTGGAACAAATTGCAACAGACGATCACCGTTGTCAGTTCGTTAGCATGAAATTCTGTAAGTACCACCAAGATATCTGCCTCTCCGATTGGCTCAGCTTCCCTACTTGAGCGATAAAAGTCACCTACCATTATGACTACATCCGAACTTTTGATTTCTGTAGCAAAGTTGACAGATTCCCATAGAATTCATCCTTTGCATCATCCGAACTACAGTCGGTGGATACGCAGGGGGATATTACGAATAAGCATCGCCTAGTCTCACGATCTTTCCTTGTTCTCACACAACCATTCAGTCAACAGATGTTTACTAGTATTCAGTCGAGAAGCGCAGTTTCTGCTCTGCGACTTAATGATATGCCCGCATCTGAGTTCACGACAGCTAGCCACTGAGTGTCCGGAAACTCTTAAGGTGAATTCTGAAGACTGACTATTATGGCCAAGTGAGGTCAATTTAATAACCACACTATCGGAGACACAGTTGACTGACTGATGTGTGTGCTAGGCGTAGAGCCTAGCACACAAGTGGATCAGTTTAAGTTGTCACACTTCACAAAAGTACACAAAGAACAGGTGGATAGAAAAAGACTGATGTCAAGAAAAATAAAGTTGTGTGAGAGATTAAACAATATGAAGATAAAGGATAGTGTGAATTTTCAAGCTTTAGAAAACATCGAGGAGTGAATACATTCGCGCCATTGTGACTGATTTTCAACTACGTTCCTGAGAGTCCTCAACCACTGACTCCTATCGTCTCGAGGACCCCAACCAGGTAGCTTACATCTCTCCACACGACTCAGATCAAGTCACATACTTCATCGAATGGTACTAGGTCTTGATGTGGTCACCCTGAACTCTCTTCAAACCTAGTCCAACGCTCCCTAGCATGGCAGGTCGAGGTAGGCAGTGGCTTGGTATGTGCAGTAGATGTCCAGGCCGTCTCAGTTGAGGTAGGTTCACTATTTCATCAATGGAATTGCCTGTCTTGGTCAGTACTTTTCGCCCGATTTGTCACAAAGTTCGGACGTTGAAAACTCCTACATGGAGTGGACGGCAGGGTCTTAGGAGACCAGAGATAAATTTTCGATGGCTTTGATCATTGAGAATGACTGCCGAGTGAGAGGTTGAGTAACAGGCAAGAGGCCTAATATTAGTGTCAAGAGGTGAAGCTAAAGAAGGAGATAGATTTGAAGAAAATAGAATGTGTTTGATCGTGTTGTGTGTACTACTAGAAGCATGCTGACTGTAAAAACTTTTCGACTGCCCACACCGGCGGACTATTTCTTCTTAAGATACCTGAAAGAGAAAAAGATCTGTTTGATAGCAGAGCTGACGTGTTATCTGCTTGAGGCTTGTCACATACGGCCTTCTGTGAGATGTGGTTTTAGTGTTTGGTTGTAATAACGTGGGATACAGAAAACCCATACCGTCGGTGCCTGGAGGCCGTAGGGCATGGTGAAGTGTGTTAATTTGGGGAGTGACCTTTTTTAACCCCCTGCCCTTTCCGTTTAGAAGGCAGCATCAGCGTGGCACTTCTGGTCATTTAAAGGAAACACCTTAGAGCTGTCACATCCAAACCAGCTAGCAGCAGTACGACTTCGCACTCAGACCCTCATCATAGTGTAGTAATTTACAAGCTGATAGTAACTGCTTTTAGTCTTACCACTATCCAACAGACCTTTCTGGTATGATAGGACCTCAAGGGAGCAAGTATACGACTAGCATAACTCGTAGGGTCATTGTGATATACAAGCCCGACCACCATGTCAAGGTAGCAGCTACTGGTTGGGATATCCTAGTCAACATTTCCAATGTGGTGAACGCTTTTTATAGAAATGCATATTGACGGCAAACACAGTAACATTGGAAAACAAAAATAATGAAAAGAATCGAATGAGGATTATGAGGTGAAAAAAAAATATCAGGTAGAAATATAGATGGGACAAACACTGAAAACTGGGATGGCGAACAAATAGAATGTTTGCAAGCGCGATTTTATTGTAAGGTTCATTCTTCCCACCACTACCGACTGTGTTTTCCAATTAAAAACCTCTTCTGCTCTAATGAACTTTTCTTCAATATAACTATCAAGATATGCAAGTTAGTTGACGATTTACAAGAGACAATCGTCAAGGGCATATGGACGTACACGCTCTTGTCAATCTTTTAAAAAGGGCTTTGCTCTTTAACAATGAGAAGCTCACTTCGCGTATATGGATACTTAACGCAAACTGATTAAGTGCAAGATCTATAGCTTGTATTGTGTCGTACACTAAAACGACATCAACTGGATACTTGAAGTCAAAAAGTCTTACACATGATAGCAGGTTTTTACCACCATCACCACCACTCACTCATTTATGGTAGTCATCAGTAGACGAGTTGAAAGGGGAAAGTGAAATCAGGTAGCCCTGTCTAACCTAATTTTTGTTTTGAAACAATGGAGAGGTAAATGTAACCATTTACTTTACCTGAGAATAGGATGTATAAGATGATAACAAACGTTTAAGAGACAAAGTTCCCTACCGGAAAATGCAAGAGCGAAGTACTATTCAGTGCATCGAAGGCAGGAGAACACAATCCAAACACTGAGAAAATATTTAACATAAGCTCAAAACACAATTGATCAACTAACAAAAAAATATGCCCTCATACATAACATTTCCTTATTCTACTTCGCTTTCCTACCTCATTCGGTGTTAAGATATTCAAGTTTCTGAATACATGAATTATGTTTCTATTTTGTTTTTTTTTCATTTGACCAGTTACACTTAAGTTTCCTGACAAAAGTATAAACAAACGAATCAACAAAAAACCTGGTACTTGGTTCAACTCGCCACACTTCATACCAGTATACAAAGAATAAGATAAGATAAGGATAATATTCAAATCGACAAACGCATATGAGAGAACAGAAAATAAGCGAATGAAGGTTAGCGAAAATGCCTGAAAGCTCGAAAATAAAAACTGTGCATACATCTGAACCATTGTCATCGCTTTGACCACTTCAATTACACACCTGACATCTCCCCACATAGCTCAAAGAAACAGTCAAGGACTTAGTGAACTGGTACCTCTTGCTCACCTAACCACGCTAAGCTTCCTTCCAATGCAGTCCTACTTCAGCTAAAATTGCATAAAATCAATGGTAGCTCATCATGCTCAACACATGTCCAACTCACCTCAATAAGGGAAGGTGCACAACCTCATCGACTGGCTTAAATTTCTTTGCCATCAGCCTCCACCTCAATGGCCTCAACGTTACTCATTATGTGATTCCGATAACATAGAAGATGGTATGTAGATATCTACAGTCAAAAGCCTGCAACCTATTCATACTTTCTACTTCTAACGCCCTTACAATAGGACATAGCGGACGTCTGCACGATATACTCATCTTTTCACAGACACCCGAATATCTTATCAGAACCAGAGTTGATAGAAGTTGTCACATGAAAAACGGACTGTTTGCATCCCCGAGACTTCGTTAGTAACCAACCCGTTCGAGCTGACGAAACTCGTAACTCCCTATCCTTATATTAGGAACCGACGTAGAGCAACCGTGAAACATCATTGTAAACTTTACAAATGCGTAATGTATACTACATATACTCAGATTTTTACCCAATGCAATCAAAAGACTCTACATCCCGTCGGCATCTTCGTCTAACGCGACCGTGTGATCTATGTGTTATGAGTCAGTCATGTGCTCTTTAAGGAGTGTATCAATTCCTGTGGAGCTGGAGGTATTTGCGCATATGCAAACAAGATGAGCCGGAATCTTGATAGTGGGCATATCTACAGCAGACAACACTGGCTATCGATTCTCACTAGAAGCCGTTACGCGGTTGTGTCAGCATCAACGGGTAACAATCAACTTTTCAAAATCATATTACTTGTTCATCTGTACGGTGAACTATATGCCTTTTACATACATTTACTTCCCCTAATAAGTATAAAACACACCACTGATTACAGAGCTGTAAGATAAACTTTGTATGTACGAAATACTATGAAAAACAAGTGCAGATTTCTTGGTGATAACCAACGTAAGGAAACAGCGGTTATGAAGGAATTGAATTGTTTGACTAAATACCATAATATAACCGGGAATTACATTTTTCCACCATGAGTTAATTCATTAGAACACAAGTCCTGTGAAATATTGAGTGGTTAATTTCGCGGGAAACGAATCGTGAGATAAGTGATACGAATGAACCCGTTTAAAATGTTTACATCAAGAAAATATGGATGTTAAGAAGCTCTAGGCTTGAATATTCTGAATATTTTAAAGGAACTTAGTCATCGGGATTTAAGAGCACATTTGGCAGCGGATGAACTTGCAGCCGCAAACTTTCGATCCTCAGCTTTCAACACAAGGGTCAAACTTTATAACTTCCTCCAATGATTGAGTTGTAGCATAAAATCTTTAAGCAGTTGTAATTCTCTACATCAAGCACAAACCTGAAGACAACTGAAGCGTCATATTTTTGAGTTATAATGTTATCAAAGCGCGTATAGAGTCTAAAAAACAATGCTATATTATGAAATATACATCCAAAAATAGACTAAGAAATCAAAAGATTTCTCTTAAGATATAGGTACATAAACAACCTAATTTATTTACATGATAAGTTTCATGACTAACCTTTTACGCGACGTTCTGATATGCGTAAATCCCAAAAAAACCAAGTCATTTTCCTCATCTGTATCGTCTAGCGTACTAGCTGACTTATACGATGAGTTGGATGATTCATGTGATAATGTAGGCATTACATCTACATTCCCTGACGATGCAACGCTTTCAATAGGATAACCATAAGGATGCAAGATTGGACTAAAAACTGGTATTTGTATTTGTTCCGAACCACTGGGCATTTTCATTGGAAAACTTTGTTTACGACGATGCAATGACTTTGAGAGAGTAGCAGAGTAAGTGGAATGTTGTTGAGTAGATCTTTTAACATAAGAATTATAAAAAATGAATGAGAAGGGGAGAGATTTAAGAAAATGGAATAATCTAATATCTATATCTGCCGACAGAGAAGAGTTTGTTGAAAAAAACCCGTTTATTTTGTGGATTACGTAATTCGTTAACTAAATGTATCACTTATAAAATCATTTACAAAGACCTTGTCTTGTTGAAGTACACATCGGAGAAAAGCACTGAGCAACCTAATGCACATTCAGGCAGTAGGCGATGAGCCACACCTATCGTGTGAAGGCTAACAATACTACCTGGTAGCCAAAACCTTGGTAGGTGGAGCGGTACTCGAACCTGTGACCTATTGGTCGAGTCAATTCCCTAAACCAGTGAGCGACAACTCTAGAGAAGTGGACAAATCAGTGTGCAACTACGACACATACGTCAGATACACTAAATCAACATAGAACCTCACACAGAAGTGGATTGGTTGAAGTTGCCACACGTCATAGCAGCATGCAAAGAAACGTGGATAGAAAGAGAGTGGAATCGAAGCAGACAAAGGTGTATAGGAGGAGAAAGGGTTTTAAAATGAAGGTAAGTGAAAACGATCGAACTTTACAAGCACTAAAGGGTGAATACATCTGCGCCATTGTGATCGGTCTTCAACCATATCACCAAGAGTCTTCAACTATTGATAAATGTCATCTTGTGGACCTCAATCAAGGAGTTTACATCTCCCTACATGAGTCGTTCCATCTTATTCAGGCCGCCCTAAGCCTTTTTCTAACGCAATCCTACCTCAGCTAACATTGCACGTCGAGTTAAGTAGTGGTTCTGCATGCGCAAAACACATCCAAGTCACTTCAGTCATTGACTGACTGTTTTTCCTTGGCTAGTATCGCTTGCCAAAACCTCGACAACACTTATACGGTGGATCCACTGCTGTGAAGATACTTACTTACATAAGGATATAGTAAGTTATAGTGGCCATCACTCAGTTTGTAGATTGCATATTGTATCAACAAAAACACTACAAGCAAACTACCTAAAGCTTACATTTTTTTTGCATATACTTCTCGAGTTGTTCATTTTTCTGGTAATCATGTTGAACACTCAAAGTGCAACACTAAGTTATACATGGCATCAAAAATATTCTGAACACATAATATCTTCATTGGAATAATTTGCACCCTAAAATACATAAAACTGGATCGATCTTGTTGTTAGTATAAGAAGTCAAAGCTAGCATGAAAAGGGTAATGAATACTCCTTAAGCAAATTAAATAAACAGAACGAGACAGTTTTTAGATTTCTGAACACGTACATCTTTATATGACTAAATACAAGTTGGTTGTCTTCACCTTCAATAAACATGTTGACCAATAAAGTACACATCGAAATCTAACAAACTGTACAATGTCCAGGTATTTTACTTACTTGTATATGTTTCTCTTTTCGAAAAAGTAATGCTTCCGATTAGTGCTATCACAACTGGAAAAGAAAAGAATTCAAAAAAAACATACTTTTATATCGGATTCTGAACTAATCGATTACCAAATGACAGGTTACAAAAAGACAGCGGTACTTCTATTACACCGCATGTTACGACCTTTGACTCCACCATTTATCAAGGTAAACAATTACATCCAAAACAAAATAGCACATGAATAAGATGAAAGAGACTTTTGTTCTTACTGTGTATGAGAGAGAGAAGAAATTTGATCAAACTAACGGCTGAAGAATGTAAGCCATGGAGAAATACAATGTCAACTAATGATAATTATGCCTGTCCTGATTTCTTTATGCGTCCCACCAGTTAGTATGACACCAGATTTAAAGATCTGCACAAGGATGGAATTGAATATAACACGCAACGGTATGGTACTATTTATTGAATAGCGTTTCAAGCACAATTTACCACTCATAATCATTTTCGTTAATAACCAAGTAGTAGTTTGTCTTGACAACCACTTCGAACAAAATACCTGGCAGCATTTACAGCCACCACTTAATACCTTTTGACCTAATGTAGGTACTTACGCACATACTTGAATATAGGAGTGGGGGATGATTATGCATTATCTACACATACTTATAACTGCTCATAGTTTATCTCACTGGAATGAACTGCTCGATACCTGCTGAAATACAACCTCTATGAATGGATATCTGGATACTGCTTTGAACATCATCCTGATTTTATTCAGTTGGTGGTGGCTAGCAATACGATCTAGAATGGACATTTCATCTTACTTGAATACACTTGACTGACTGACAAAATCAACATAGAACCTCGCACATATATACATCGGCTCAAGTTACCACACTTCACAGTCGTAGATAAAAAAAAAAAGGGGGATAGAATAATAGTGACATCAAAGTAGACAAGGTTGTGCAACATAATAACCCATTTGATGATAGTTATTACTGCAAATATTCAAGCTTTAGAAGACTCGTTAAGGTTTTGGATTACCTCAATAGTATCATTAACATCCATCACAAAATAGATGTGACTTATTCCCTACTGCATGAATGTGCGAACAAGATTGCTGAGTAGATTTAAATAAATCTTAAATATTGAACAAGCATGAAAGATGTAATGATACCCAGTTTTAGTAGTCAAAAATCTATACAATTTGTATAAGCCACTGAATGGAAATCATTAAGATGGCATATAACAATAAGGCATTGCAAAACTAAGATATTTAGTGAGTGATTACAGCCAGGAATAACAACACATAATAAACATTGCCATTTTAGCTATACAACTAGTCAGATGGATGTACCTTACAAATTATGAACTTCGATACTCAAAAATTTAACATTCTAGAATGAATCTAGTCCATAATATCAGTTTAGAAACATAATGCAAAATGTTCATAATTAGGCAGAGAGAGGGTGAAGAGAATATTGAACCATCTACTTAGCTTACCTAAGACGGAACATTCTCCAAAAAGAAAAACTCAGAAGATCATTTTCAGTAATAACAAAAGTTAATGAAATATAATGATACTACTTGATATTGTATAGTAATTTATACAGAATTGATTTCTTATGTGCACAATACGATTTGTATTATATGAGCATATTGAAAATTCCCACATTTAGACATTCCAGACGCAAAAAAAGAAAGATCGAAGAGATATTGCTTTCCAATTTCATCATCAGTTCTACACCAGTATATAGGTCTTACAACTCCTAAAAGTATACGATTTAGCGATGGTGGGTTAAGCAACTATGATAATTACAAATTTAAAGTTATTTATGAACCTAATAGTTAGAGAAAGAAAAATTGATGAACGCGGTTAGTAGAAGTAAAAAAACAAAGTAAAACAAGTTTGAAATAATGGAAAAGATTTGTAGCTCAAGACGTACGCGAATGACAATGGTCCAGTGTCCTTTAAGCTTTGGTATTTTGTCAACAAAAGTTAACTCATTGATTGGATGACAGTTATCATGAAAGGTGGTCACTTTTAACAATGAAAGAGTAAGAATAAGGAGATAGAAAAATAAGAAGGCAGACGATATGAACTGAAAAAGGGAGAGGGTTTTTTGATACCAAATTTTAATACATTGAGTGGGAAAATAAAACAGTTTGAAGTTAGACGTGAATTTGCGTATGGCCGAAACAATGTGTGAGCAATCTTGAGGTCAGATGAAAGGTGCTAGGTAGGATAGACAAGTCGATTGATGAAGCTGTGAACCTCAATCGACTGAGGTGGATTGAACATGTACTACGCACATCCAGCCACCGCCTACCTCGTCGTGACATGCTACGGGAAGTTGGATTAGGTTGGAAGAGGATTCAGAGAGGTCAGACAAAAACCTGGCACCAGTTCATGAAGCCCCTAACTGTTGGTCTCAAATTGTGTTGGGAGATGTAGACTACCTGGCTAGGATCTTTGAGACAACAGAAATCAGTGATTATTGATGCTTGTTGACATGAATGAAAATCGATCAAAGTGGCGCAGAGATATTCACTCTGATGTCTTCTAAGGCATGAATATCTTCAAGTCGCTTATTCTCACACAACTTTGTTGACTTGAATATCAGTCTTTTTCTATTTACTTGTTTTTTTAATAGTACTGTGAAGTGTGGCAACTGAAAGGGATGCAACTGCATGCGAGGTTCTACGTTAATTTTGTCTCTGTTTTCTCTTGATGACCAAGTAGGGACAAAGGTTGCACAAACTTCTTTTGAATACAAAAATTTGACCTGTAGAGACATATATCGATAGCTTCTATCGAGTATAATAAGCAAATATATAAACCACGTCGAAGACCGGAGAGCACAGAGTTAATAAATAGCTTTAAAAACTTTGACTGCATTTACTACATGACTACAAGCAACTACATTTGCAGGCAATGAGCTTTGCATTGTGTTTATTTATCCACTATTCAGTCGATATGAAAAGAAGTATTTCTGAGCTCAATCCATAGAATATTGTATTTAAGAAAATATTACATAACTGGAAAGATTTCAAAATCAAAACTTACCCAACTGCCGTAGTTACTTTTTTGAGAAGTATTTTCAATGTGGATGAAGTGGATAATGCATTATAATTATTATTATTGTGGCTACTATTCTTTGCAGGTGAATAAGACGTTGAAGCAGAGGGATTCAAATCTGAAAATAAAAAAAAACAAGAGGCAATCAGAAAAAAGAGTTAAACATTCAACGCGTATGAATCAAAAATAAATGGAAGTTTGCCTTTCTCCTAAACATGAATTTCAATCAATACCTTGGTATTGTAAAATACTTAAAAGGTTGCAGTTAAAAACACACTAAAAGCGATTAAAGATTTTTATGCTACTCAAAATGATATCAGTAGTAAAAGTCAAAACACTAAAAAAGCAACACTGTATTCAATTTGTGTGAAGAGTGATTGTAAATTATTATGATCAGAAACGACGAATTGCTGGGGGAAAAAGAAAACGCCGTGCATTCAAGGAAAACAGAGAAACAACGAAGTGTATGCCAAAAACTTATTATAGATTCACAGCTAAATAAAATTGCATTCAAAACACTTTCTACCACCTTACATATCAAAATAACTATTTACATAGGATACCATCGGTATGCTGATATTCAATCAAGCAAGTAGTTTTGAATAGTTAAATTACTTTACCAAAAGCAAGCATAGGCAATAGTTTGGGAGCATTTCAGTAAGTAGAAATAAACAGATTACTGAAATGGGATAAAAAGAAGAAAAAATATTGTAGAAAACCGCCGAGAAAAATCATGGATAGGTCTACGAAATGGAAAGCATATTAAAATACACAAAAACATGACTGAATATGTGTGAAGTAAACCAGATGCTCAGAATTTGAGGGAGATGAGCCCGTAAGATCAATTTTCATGTATGCAGAGTCTAAGACCTCCAAAATTTGTTCCAGTACTGCTGTACACATATTCAAAAAGGAAACAAAATGAATCCAAGAAATAAATGATGTAAAATTTCACAACTTTCTAGTTACAGAAATCGGTAGTAAATTTATAATTCTGAGCTGAAGCTGTTCCGTAATTATTTAGCAAAATAATTCCACATATACAGCAACTAACAAATTATAGAAACTTCCGAAAATCATGAAGAGAAGTTTTGCAGTGGGTCACAATGTTATTCGAATTATGGTTGAAAATAAATTGACGGCTATTATATATCACTGAAATATGTATGGTATACATGATTTCCAAGGATTATCATCAGTAACCTTCTAGGACTAATTATACCAATTAATTCTGTTAAAGTCACAAGCCTTCAGTAAAAGCTGAACACGTTCTATCCCACAATATCTCTACAACTAAATGATATGAATATCAAATTAGGACTTTGTTCCGTTAGTTAAGAAGTTCTATGTGAGCATCAAACAAAGTAGTTCATCTTTTCAGATATTCCTATATCTGAAATGAACTGGTATCTATTGACAGCACTGCTTGCAAACTTGAGTATTCATACTCACTACTTTTGGAGCATAATTTGCCTACCACTAATGAAGTTTTTGGAATATGTACAATATACAGCTCTATTATAGAATGACCTCATAAAAATCATTTCAAGTAACTGCTACAAATTGAAATCTCAAAATGCTAGGAATCCTTGCATGATAATACAAAAATGGACGCATCTTCAGGTAAACGACCAATTTCACTGTTCTCTAGTTACCTAGTTGGAAAGTTGCGTTCATCGTAATCATAAGGTGAATAACAGCTCAGATGACAATTCTATTTCCACACGTGACTAGTACTATGATTAGTCAGCTGAAGTTTTGAATCACATGAACTAAGCAATCAGATTTCTTGAAGTAAGTTAAAAAAACAAAATGATATGAAACTTTAAAGGGCATAGAGACTACAATGGATGATTAGCTACTTTACATCTACAAATATATCCAATTACCAAATAAAGGTCTTATGATAACATAACCGAAATCTTCTACAGTTCCTAAACAACAAGATCTCATTTTAATTTAAAATTTATATGACGGAAGATAACAGATCGAGATGATTGGAAAGTATCATATATAATGCTGACGAAGTGAGAAGATGACATTCAAAATAGGTAGTAGTAGTTATGTTAACTTCAGTGTATTTTAAAGAAAATAACTTTAATGTTTCACTCAAATCTCTTGTCTTAGTTTTTCTAGGGAAAAACAATCAGAATTACAACACTATATATATATATATATATATATATATATATGTATATATAAGATCAAAGACTTTTACTCAGTCTCCTTGCCCATGGAGAAAACGATAAAATGTTTGACTGAAACATTGAAATTACATTTTAATACGTTGCTTATTATCAATATGAACTTATCCAAGAGTTAGGAAGAATAAAAAGTGTCCGATGCATGTAAAAGTTAAACCAAAAAGAGTTTTAAGTGTAATTTGATAAACAGATTTGCAGAATATACAACAACTTTAAAGCCAATCAACAAATTACAAAAAAGTGAATGTTAAGTAACAATTTCTAAGTGGTTAACTAAAGTATGGCGTGTGAAAGCGAAATAACAGCGCCAAGTTACTATCACTCTGATGTAAGATAGCAGTCACACACTTGTGAGATGAAAACTACATGAAGATTGTGAAAATATGAACACAATAGACAAAATTACCTTAACATATCCTTTTTTTCTTAAAATGACAAACAACTTTTTTTTATGGAAAAGAGATCAGCAAATATTCAAGTTTCATGTTCAAGGATCTGGGATTTAAGGTATAATCGAATATGGCATTTTTTTTTAGTGCACATCAAAACTACGTGAAATAATGGTAAATAGATTAGATCTTCATCCATCGTCAAGTTTTCGAGCAAATTAGTACCAATGCCCTATACCTGGCATATTTCTTGATCTGATGGCAGTATTGCATTGTCCACAGAAAGGCTTCTTGGCAAATTTTCAAGGAAGAAAATAAATCCATTACTGTATCAGCTTTCATGGTGGTGGGTCATAATATTCAACGTAAAGTAGAATTGAGATTTTCATTATTAGTCGATACAGAAGGAAAAGGCAGTCAGTTATGAAAAGCTGTTTCATAGTGTTCGATGCATATCCTCTATTTGAAAAACACTCTAACTGTAATGAGAATATCTGCCTAGCATTATTGATAACATCTAAGGATAGCTTGGTCTGAACTACTGGTCTATTGAGATCGATGATATAATCATCATTACAATTATATGTGGGTCTTTACAAACATGAGAACTGTAAACCATAGAGACTGAAGTTTCCAGACTACAATTGCATGTGTTATGAAGGTATGTACTCATTGTTTTTTTCCGCGGTTGATAGACAAGAATATTAATTCACACTGAAAAGCACATCTTGGAATTCATATGATGTCAAAGCAAAAAAAAATTTCATAAAAAAGGAGACATGTACGAAATATAGAAAGAGCTTCAGTGCTAATAAAGGTTTGTGAGCAGTTAAAACTTCTCGGGTGTCCCCCCTCCCGTATAAAAGCTCACTCTGTTAAGGTACGTTAAAAAGAAATTCTTTGAATGTAGATGATCTAATCATCACAAAAGCGTGGTGGTACAGGGCAGGACACAGATATTTAACGTTGAATAACTGATACTCTATTGAATGTTTTGATTTGGAACCAATTATCGTGTACCAGTACCACGAAAACTCCCACCTCTACAGCGAAAAAGCAAAGAAGATAAATGCTACTTTTAGCGTCAGTCTATCCTAATTATTCCTCCTTCCAAAAAACGAAAGATAGCTTCAGTTGGAGATGGCGATAACCTTCGACCAATCTGTTTCTACACCTCGATACACAGTCAGTGGTATGAATTCGCCCTCAAAACCTACAGTTTCGCAATTTTTTTGATTGCTAAATCATGAGAATATACCATACAGGAAGTTCGACATGAAGACAAAAATTAGAATACGCAGCTACAATAGCGTATCATTCATTCACGTGTCATATGTACAAGAAATAAAACAATTAGAAAAACAGAGAAAGAAGTGTCATCACTGAATAACTTACTAGGTAATCCAGTTTCCGGTGGTTTGGATTTATTAGAAACACTGACAGACAATGGTGATGTAGAACCATCAGATGTTGATATTATTTGACTCGAGACATTAGGCGAAGATACAGGTACTGTTTGAAGACATTGGTGCTTGTTTTGGAGATTAGAGGATAAATGCCGTGAATTTATATGTCGAGAAAGGCGATCAAAGTTTGAAGACCTTGATTTAGTTAATAGAATGAATAAACTAATTTATTTTTTGACATATTTAAAAGTAGTCGGTAACATTTGAATGTAAATTTAACCCTTCACAAAATTACTGGATTAAATATATATGGCTTGACCAAAAGCTATTTCAACCACAGAAATTACGCAACAAATGTCGACTTTCAGATAAAAATCCAGGAAAAGCAACAAGTGCGAACGCATAAAATGTAACATAGTTCAATAGAATACAGCTGAGGTCTCGGAATATATGACTACATATAACAATGATGAGGATGCAGCAATCAGCTCGACTTCACCTTCGAAACAAAACCACAGCTTAAGGTACTTACGCTATAAGGTAACCTGCTTTCAGTCGTGCTAATATCCAAAAGGCATTTGTGTCAACGTAGGACCTAAACGGAAACTGGCTTCATATAACATAACTCGCTGTGTCATTGTGGTATTTAAAACCGGTAATTTAGGGTACGGGCTGTCAATAGGGAGATTGTGAAATATAGCCATTACATATGAAGGACATGAGAAGCGCTCGACTACCGTTACCCACATGTGACTGTCAGTGTCTAGTCTAACAATAAAGTGAAGAACATGGAGGTCAGATGCAGAATCTTGGGCAGATGAGGAAAACCAGTGATTATTAACAAGGGACATAGCATTACTGGATTTGAAAAGGTAAGTTAGAGGTTATGAAACCCGATAACTGAAGTGGTTGAGACATGCATTCATTCATATGCCTAGTAAGTATCTAGCTTAGGCTGAGAATGATAAAAACCTTAGGGTAACTAGGCCATTTAAAACACCAAGTTTGGAGAACACCACAAATCAACACAAAAATATTCAAGAGTAACTAAAAAATAATCCCGAGTATTCAAAGCTACTTAAGCAATAACTTTGAAAAATTGTTCAAAGGTCCCGAAAAGCATTCAAATTAAGATAATAATACATTGACTCACGTAAAGGGGCACTTGGTGCAATGAAACACGTTTTTAGACGAGGACTTGGGTTGTTTTACGCTTTCTGTATGAGTGTTTTTTTGTATCTAAAAGATGCAGAAATGAAACTTATTACAAAATGATGTAAACCAGTAAAGAAGAGACGATGAAAATTCAAGTCAATTATAATGAAGTGCTGTGAATCATGAAGAAAGTACAAGCTGCTACTGATGAAATAAGTCTTTTCGGCACCACTACAATCACAACAAATGAAGCATACTATTTTACTTCGACATCCTATGCTCAAGGCATTATTCAAAGGCGACTTGTCAAATTTAGTTGATTATTAAACAGTGAGACAGACTGTGCACTTCCACATTTCGAAGTATGAAAACCCTAAAATAACTGAATTTCAACAATAAAGAACTAGCCACGAAAACTACTTACACGCCAAGAAAAGTTGCAGAGTTTAAGTCTATCATAGTGAACCCGGTCAATAATTGATAAATTTGATAATTCACCGCTTCAATTGAATTATCACTGATGATTCGTGAATACTGAGATTACTACTTGACGTCAATACAGATGGAAGTGTAATGGCACCCAGACAATAAATTTACGCAAATAGTATAAACTTACAGTAGATTTTTATAAAAATCTCTGGAGTTTCAATTTTTAATTCACCTGCTTTGGTTCAGCATGGGGCAACTTAAGGTTCGCACCATACAGTGAATGTAGCTCATAGTCCAGAACACTGCTTGTTATCAGATTTAAGTTAACATTACTATTACTATTAATAAGAGTACAACTGCAAAAGACATGGCGCGTCGGATCGAAACGGACTTGATAACCCTGTGCATAGTTGTACACCACGTAATGGGCCTCACTCAGCCACACTTTTGGCAGTCTTGTGCACATTCATGCAGTAAGCAATGAGCCACACCAATTGTGTGTGATACTACTTGCTTAGCCAAACCTCGGTAGGTGGAGCAGGGCTTGAACCGGTGACCTATCGGTTGCAAGTCATCTCCCTAAGCCAATGAGCCACAGCTCCTAGTAACCATCAACTACTGCGTCAGGGTTATTGACGACATCTGGCTGCCTAAAGCTCAAGGGGTGAGACGACATTCGGACCCATGACCCTCTCTGTTAAAAGTAGTGACGCAGCTCCATAAAACACATAACACAATAAGACGAATGCCTGGAACGACGATGAATTCCTGTAACTTCCACAGTTTAAATCTTTCAAATAAGCTTCATAAATTCTATAACCTTATCCTCATTTTGTTCAGTTGTCCAGTGAATGGAATAAAATAGCCAAGCTGCTTGAAGATATAAGCTTCGACAGCTGGCCTAAGAGACAACCAATAAATATAAATAATGAATGAAATGCCTAGGGAATATTTCTTTTTGTAAACTTGTAATGGTAAAACACATAAACGAATAAAACGTTCTTTACTTGAAAAACCTACCATTCGAAACAGAGCAAGAATCTTCGATATAACCGCTTTCATTCATACGGCGATCTACTGTGTTGCTACCCTTCTGAAATAATGGAGCAAAAAAAATTTAAAGTGAAGAAATGTGTGTGAATAAGATTTTAGAAAAGGTTAACTTAAGTTTTATAGTCAATCACTGAAAATTTTGAAATTGAAATGCACTCAGCAACCACGTACACATTCGTGCAGTAGGCAATGAGCCACACCTTTTGTATGAGGAGGCTAATGATTCTATGAAGCGATCTAAACCTCGGTAGATGGAGCCGGGTTCGAACGCTTGACGCAATGACTGAATTTCAACTACCTTAACTAAAGAGCTACAACTCCCCACAGTAACTGTGGAACAATTTTTCTAACTACTTCACACCCAGCAATGACAACTATGATAATTATTAAATGAATTTAATTCATCAACTAATAAATACGAAAATTGAGTACTTCTGTGTAGTGATGAAGAAAAAAATAACAACATAACATAACTCACAACTTGCATAATACTTCCATCTCCGCTGGGTAACTGAACTGTAGAAGTGGGAGTTGTTTCATCACGACTTAAAACTAAAGTGAGTAAGGTGTAAAAGTATTAATTTAAAGTATTACCCAAAGAAAAGATTATATATTCAATTACACAGTATCAAATCATTTCAACCGCTGAGTTTGACAGTTCAAAGAACGAAAATAATTCCTATGTATTAGTGCTAAGAAATGTAGCTATTTCCAATAAAAATCGATCTGCTAATAATCACTGATTTCATTCAGTGATCACTATCAATAATTCTATGATTGCAACTGTTATCAGGGGTAATAACTAACAAATTTGTTGATATCCGTTCTTCTAATTTTCTCCTCAACTAAAAGTGGTTGATGTTGAGTTGCTATTTATTGACTGGAAGAATAATTGTGAATGAATCTGCACAAGCTTAATAAATTGCCGTTTAATTCACTCACTAGCAAACGTGCTAAAGCCGATTCGCTTTCTGAGTACCTAGCTAGCTGTCTAGAAAATCAAATGATATTCGAGTCACATATTGTAGACTGTTTGAAAAAGCATATGGAGTAGATGTTGAAATTTATAACACGGACCCGTTTTTTCAAATCTCTCCATATTAAAAGCTACATTTGGACTCAACGGTGGGCATTATAAGTGGAAGGAAGGAAGGAAAGGTACCTGCCGATAAGAAGGACTACCTTGTCAAACTACCAAAGAAAGGAGATCTAAGTGTTTCCAAGGACTGGCGCGGAATCATGCTCCTGTGCACTCCGAACAAAATGTTAAGCCGTACCATCCTGCAAGGATTAAAAATGATCTGGATTCAACTGGTTTACGACCGGAACAGGCTGGCTGGCTTCAGGAAGAAAAAATCAAATTCCAACACTACACTACGCATCATCATAGAACAGGGGATAGAATGCCAGTCAACTCTCTACCTCAACTTCATCAATTTTGAAAATGCCTTCGACAGCGTCAACCGAGAAATAATTTGGCAGCTGCTTCAACACTACGGTTTTAGTGACACAAACCTTTATCAACCTCATTCAACAGCAACTATACGCTATATGATGATGATGCTGGATGCCAAGTGATTCACAATGGAAAACTCACTGATGCCTTTGAAGTGAAGAGAGGAGTAAGACAAGGTTGCCGCCTACTATCACCGATGACCTTCCTGATTGTGGTCGACTCGACTGGACCATGCAACTGTGAGGAGGAAGAAGAAGGGTATACGCTGTCTGCACCGATGAAAAGAGTTTAGAAGATTTGGATTTCGCCAATGATGATTTATGTTTAATGCCTTGTCGCACAAACTCGAAGATCTACAGTCGGAAAGTAACAAATTGGCAGAAGAGGCAAGGCAGCAAAGACAGAACTTTCTTCGAGTAAACGTAGAGAAGGCAGAGGTGACGAAGATACTCAACCAACAACAACAAGTACCAATCACCATCAAAGGGAGAAGTCTGAAGGAGGTAGTCTCTTTCACCTACCTACCTAGGCAGCATCGTTCCAACTAGAGGTGGCACAGATGACGATGTCAAAGCCAGGATCGGAAAGACAGTAAGACAGGCCTTCATTAACCTGAAATCAGTGTGGAGATCTACTGCACTGCACTCAGCATTAAGCGTGAACAAGATCCGGATTTTCAACACTGTCAGTCAAGTCAGTGCCTCAATGTGGTGGTTGAGAGACTTGGCGTGTTACGAAAAGCATTTCCAACAAACTACAGACATGCATCAGGTCAACAGCTGCCGCCTATGCTCGATACTGAAGATCAGATGGCCAGAATAATAAGAATAAGCAACAAGGAACTCTGGTATGGCAACGAACCAACCGACCAAGAGCCTAGTGCCTAGTGTAAAACTTGGGCACCGTAATAAAATGTAATTCCATATTAGATGTGTTTATTTGATTTATAACACATAGTGATCTAGTATTATTTACTTGATGACGTTTCGAGCATAAATTGTTGCTCATAATCATATCAATATGTTTATGAGCAATAATTTATGCTCGAAACATCATCATGTAAATAATACTACACTGTGTTACAAATCAAATAAAAAACTGATGTCAGTCTACGATGAATAACAACTTGAAATCTAATATAAAGCCTATCGCCCAACAAATCAGCAGAAGAAAGTGAAGATGGATTGGATCAGACACACAGTGAGAAGACCGTTTGGGGACATCAAGCGCCAGACCAGGCTGTCGAGTGGAACTCAAATGGGAAACGAGTTGGGTGTCCGAGGGCGACATGGAAGAGATCGTGTGAGGAAGAAATGAAAGCTTATGGGGAGTCTTGGAGCCAGGTTGCTAAGACTGCAGAGAAGAGAGTGAAATGGCGACGTGCTACTGAAGACCTATGTTCCACTGAGAACCCCAAAAGACAAATAATAATAATAATAATAATAATAATAATAATAATAATAATAATAATAATAATAATAATAATAATGGATAAATGTGATAGTGTAGTCCAGATTGCAATGACTAATAGCTAAACTATGAATAAAATTAGATCCCACCCCACTTTGTTTTTCATTTTTACCGCCTTATTCTTTCATTTCTTTATGTTTAACGCACCCCTCCTTGACGAATCACTATGAATATCAACATAGGACTAGGCATTACGGCATAACGCGCCAAGTTGCCACACCTTATATTAGCACACAAAGTAACAAAGTAATAAGATGAAAGATGAAGAGAAAAAAATCGGTCAAAAGTAGTAAAAGAGAGCAAGGAGCAACGAGAAAATGCTGAATTCAGTATAGCGGTTAAGATGAAGATAAAGTGCGGATACGTCTGGGCCACTGATACCGATTCTGAGCCGTATCACCTACAGTCTCGAACGGCTTATTTCTGTAGTCACGTGGACCCCAGCCAGCTAGTCTACATCTACCTAAATGGCTCAAACCAACTGCCGACGACCTAATGCAGTGATACCGTGTTTTATTCTTGCCAACCTAGGCCTTTTTTCAACCTCGGGGTTTCCAGATGACGAATAGATACTTATTTTGCAAACTAATTTGTTATTCAATAATAAAAGACCGTAATGACTAACAGATAATCACATAAAAATAATTACTAACCTGGAGGTGCAGTAACAGGTTGAAGCTTTCGGCGAATAGATGTTGGACGAGCATATTTCCCAGGTGGTTTGCTAGCATCACTTGAACTAACAAAACAGAACGTCTAGAATGGGAAAATGCACGTGGAATAACAAAGTTTTGGTTGATAGGTAGGGAGATAGGATATTATAAACATGAGTGAGAATGACGGATTATAGAAACTAGGCGAATATATTTCCAATCAATGCTATATTGACTAATTATCAAGAATCCAGAAATACTTTTAAATTATCACTATAATGCTAGAATAAATAATTCACGATAATGTCATGACTTGCGTTATATTTATATTAAAGTATGAGTTGAGTAAATAGATATCACTCACACAGTTACTACGTTGGGCTAAGTCATATGCAATGAGAAATTTACAGTGATTAGTCAATGTGCAAAAGACTGTGACTTGCTTCGAGATGAGATTTCCCGAAAGTTCGTGACCCCTGGGACTAAACAAGTCGGATGTGAGGACAGCTACTCAACAACATCATTGGATGAAGGTCGCGCTACAGTGTGAACCAACAGAAGTAGAAAATTTGGACCACTGGACACCGAGTTATTCAAGTTGTCCTCTGCCAAAAGTCTTTACATTTTCAAAATCCCATACATATCCACAGTTCCTAAGATGCATTGATACATGGGTTGAAGAGCAACGACGTTTAATTGTCAACTTACGTTCACGTAAACAAAGACAAAGGCCGAACTGTCAAATCAAGTGTTTATCGCGGTTGTTGCAGTTGATTTTTTAAATGATATTCAGTTTTTATTCTTTGGCTAATGCGTCTGGTGGTTTGCATAAAATAGCCTAGAAGAAATTTGTTGGTTTAAAAGCTGCATCAATTCAAAACTGTCTTAATAGTCAATTTTGTTGTGACCTATGCTATGTCTTCCATGCATGGTAAGATGATATGCCTCCTGATGTCTGTAGATAGTTTCGTAGGTGATGATAAATCGATTAGACATCTGGTAAAGTTGGATAGGTAAGTATTCTTCTTCAAGACAATCATATAGTAATTTTTCACATTTCTCCGTGAATGACTGTGCTGCACTGAGCGTTTACTTCTTTGATTGCAGTTTGCACGCAACTAGTTTTCACGCTGTCAAGTTGTTGTTGGCCTAGTTGAATGGTCGATCAGTATCAGTTGGCTTTCTGTATGTTCAAATCTCCCACCTAGCTCTTTTAGTTCCACTGATTAACATACATAGAAATGGTAGTCTGCAGTTTGATTCCGCCTCTATTATAGATTTGATGCCACTGGCAGTGTTGTTGATCAACTTGATGCCTGATATCCTAAAAGATGTAATTAGATGTCGACGTTTCTGAATTTCTGTTCAAAACTATGAACAACCACGAACTTTTATCGACTATTTATAAAGCCCACTGTTAATCGCTAAGAAGTCTAGAGTTTTGACAGAGTTTCATGTAGTGAGAACAACAATCTTAATATCTTAGAAATACAAAATTAGGATATTTGACATCAATTTTTAAACGTTTTTTACATTTGATCAGCTTTCCAGATCCTACGTTGTCACTACAGATACATGATTTAGTATCATATGCTCCGCTAATTTGGCCCCTACCGAATGACAGAGACAAAATCAAAGTAGAACCCCGCACATAAGTGGATCGGTTCAAAATGTTGCACTTCGCAGTAGAAAGCAAAGAACATGTGGGTGGAAAAAGGGTGATATCAAAGCAGACAAAGGTGTATGTGAGGGAAAAAAAGAAAATGTTCACGATCCAGAAGACCTTGGAGAGTGAGTAGTTCTGAACCACTGTGACTAATGTTAAGCCATATCACTTACGGTCTCCAAACATTGATTCCTATCACACTGAGGACCCTAACCAGGAAGTCTACGGCAACCAACACCGTTCAGACCAACAATCAGAGATCCGATAATCCAGCACCAAGTCTTGAATTTGTTACGCTGAGCCTCCTTTCAAACCAAACCAACTTTCCCTAGCATTGCACATAGAGGTAGGCAGTGGTTTATCATGCGCAGCACATACCTAAGCAACTTCAGTCAGCGAAGTTTGACAACCCCTTTGACTGGATTACCTCCCACGCTCAGTACCCTTCACCTAACCTCTAAATTCTCGATACAGTGATTCTATCATGTGCAAACAATGCTAAAAAGATACCTGTGTTCGAAAACCTGTGATCTACTTATATCTCTTACTTTTGATGCCTATGTCTCACGACCATATGATAGGATAGAAAGGACTATGGTGCAGCATAAACGTTTTTCAATAGGCAGTCGCTAGTCAGCGCCACGGATGACACAAGTTCGCGAATTCCAAACAGGCATTTCGTATTCAAGCTAAGATTTCGTCCGCACCAAGCGTGTTCGGGCTGACATAACGCCCCAGGTAAGTGGAGAGGTCGTCACATTCTAGCACTTCACTCCCTATCATTAAACTGAGAGTGGTTGCAGACCAGTCGTGCAGTATCATCTTACACTTGAAAGGTGCGAGAAGCATGCCAAATATTCTCAGATTTATGCTCAACGCGTTCAGAAGACCTTACAGTTTGTCAGCGTCTTTTTCTAGTAGGACAATATCATCTGCGTACTTCAAGTCAACTAGATGCCCTTTAAGGAGTAGGTCAAGCTCTCTGAAGTCAGATGCACCTATAGTTATGTCCATTAATATATCTGTAACGAAGTTGGACAGAAATGGTGACAGTGGGCATTTCTGAAATGGACAACACTAGTTATTGTCAATTAGCATGACAACTGTCCATAGGCCCTTAATCGGTTGCAGGAGTTTCAATAGAGAGCTTTGATTAGCATTACATACTCGTTCGGTAGTCCCTTCACAGCCAGACACTCCCACAATACCTCATGTTGACAGAGTCGAATGTCGCCTTCAGGTTAAGAAATATGGCAAGTGTCACTAGTATGTCTGTGTTCTATAACCTAACGAATGGTAAAGACTTGGCCGATGCATACCCATCCAGGTCTGGAATCCGCCTGGTTTGCTGCTCTCAAGCTCCAGTTAGACATTCGATAACTATGAACCCAAGGGTCCTGGATGTGATGTTAATTAAAGTAACTCCCATGAGGCTGTCCGAAGACTGTAATCATCAGTAAAATAGACCAGTCTGACGGGATTACGCCTGATTCCCATACACTACCTATTACTTCCGCTACTTTACTCAGTGATTTCCTTATGGTACCAAACCGTCAGGTCTTATTGATTTGTATCGTTTTAAGTTCGAAACAGCTTTCTCAAATTTGTAACATTTCTACATCAAACACTAACCGACAGCAAGTTACTGTGAATATCTCACAAGGGAATGACTTGCTTACAAATACAAATCCATAGTTTGTTTTTGAGCTAACCGATACTATTAGTAGTAAATATTATGAAAGAGGATTAGCACGTAAAATCTATTGATTTTTAAAGACAACCTTTTCCCTACTTTAAAAAACGCAAATTTTCTATAATGTAAAATATTCCAATAGAAAATTATATAAAAATTGAAAGGAGACATCACTACGGACAGGCAGTGGAAGGCAAAATATTGATTAGAAAGTGCACCAACCTAAGTGGTCATAACGTCCCAATAGCAGATGGAGAGAAGTAATCAACAAAGGAAGAAGGATACTAATAGGAATTTTTTGACCACCTAGTTGTTGTATTAAAAGCGTTTTCTTAAGAAACCATCTAATCAAAACATTTACTTTAGGATAGTTTGCAATGGAAATCCCGTTGACACTACAGTTGAACAGCCTTAAAACTATTATTCAGCTGTGAGAAATATTAATATGAACCGAGCAATTTATAAATAGTTTACAAGCTGTTCATGTATGCTACAATATATCAGTTCATCCAAACCAGTTCGTCACGTATGGACGATATGAACAGTTCAGGAACTCCTTGAACTGAATTTGCTCAGACAAGTTGCTAATCAGCTCGACCCTACATCTGTGCTTATTAAAGACAGAATGGTTTAAGTGAAATAACAGTACCTAACAACCAAGAAAAAAATATAAAATGAATATGTAAAAAGTAACAGCTAACCCGATTCAATATAGCAGTTTCCAAACTTTCGTGATTTAAACATCGTGATGAACATAATCCAGACGAAGAAACAGGATTTGAGGATAAAGGTGGTACATTTGCAGGAATACGATTTAAATCAGAACAGATTGGTATCGTGAGATTTTTAAGAGTGAACGATTCACTATTTGTATTGGCTAGAGTGCAATACTCCCGTTGGCTGGTAACGATAGATGTATGGGAAGTGTCATTACGCAACGCCACTGAAGTACTATTCTTTTCAGTGTTACTTTTTCTGTTGTTGACCATATCAGATAGAATTGGTGGTAATGGGATATTCGACTAATAGGTACAGAGAAATAAAAACATGCAAAAATATCAAACACTTATGGATTTCATTCAGTAGTACTGGTTAATTAGTTAACATTACATATCTGTTCTACAATGCAACACCAAAACGATAACTAACGGGTGAATAAAAGATTGCATTAAAACCCACCCCTTTTCAAGATTTTCGTAAGTTTGCTTAATTCAGAAAGAGTGAAAGTGAAACAGTGAAGTTGAATGAGTTATGCACCTGTATAGCATACACACATAGATACAGCTGAAACTGACTGGTAAAAATAATGCAAATCAAATCAATGTAGGTTTTCTTTGTGCCGGGCTATGGGACCATGCATATTGTGTGATCGGCTTTTAATACAATCTAATGACCCAGGTTAAAGTAGGTGGAATGATAGTTACTGCGCTGCAGTCCATTCTGTCCTGGTACATACAATGAGACATGGTCGTTGACAGTAGAAGAAATGAAGTCATTACAGGGTTTTGATCATAGGATTGCTCGCGTTTGTTGGTATCATTGTGTGAGCAATTTCGGGGTCAGGCGAAGGGTATTAGGCAACACAGACAAGTCGGTTGATGAGGTTGTGAACTTTAGGCAACTGAGATAACTTGGAAATGTGTTGTATATGCCCAGTCAAAGCTTATCTCGAAGTGCCATACTAGGGGGGAATAGGATTACATTATAAAAGAGTTCAGTGTTACCACATCAAGACCTAGTACCAGTCGACGAAGTTCCTGACTGTTGGTCTGAGCGCTTTGGGGACGTGTAGAGTGCCTAGTTGAGGTCCCCGAACTAAGAGATCAGCAGTTGAGGACTCTTGGTGACATGGCTAAAAATCGGTCGCAGTGGCGCAGATGTATTGACTGTTTGACATCTTCTAAGGCTTGAATATTCGCACTAACTTTTATCTTCAAATTGATTATTTTCTCACACAACTTGTGTACTTTGATATTACTTTTAATGTATCAACCTGTTCTTTGTGTACTACCATGAAGTGTAGTAACTTGAGTTGATGTACTGAAGCAGTCGTTGATGAGGAAACTGACAGATTTAAAAGAAAGTTAACAAAATATAACGCCATCTCCATTCTGTTACATATGAACCATTTTACTTTTGTTTAAGGTTATAGGTTACTGTGTTTGTTATTCTGTTACACAGTATAAAGGTTGAGGAAGTCGGTAAAGACATTTGCAAGTGCTACATAACGTAGCTACAAGACAAATGATTACATGTAGGTAAACTATATGAACACTGACAGTCAGTTAGCGCATGGTCGAATATTATAAACTGTGATGAAATTACAAAATGGAATGTCAACTAAGGACGAAAAGGTTAATAAGGAGGCAACACTTGGTGTTATCACATTGTAGTAGTTCCTCAATAGTAAATATTAATCGAAACTGGAATTCATATGCGATGAGTCTTAACCTGTTCCCTCAGAGTTGTAACCAACCCTTTCAGCTGGTAGAGTAGCTGTTCCAGTTAGTATAGCTTAACTTTATTATCGATAAAGAAATGTCTAACCAACGCACCAACTGTGTTGACAGAACTCAAGAATTTTTCGCACTTTAGGTTAGTTTCTTAAAGTCGGAAGATTGCTTGAATCACACTGCAGGTTTTAGCAACTACTTAGCAAAGTTAACCTCCACATGAAAGATGTTGTTCCTTATGGCCTGACTTTTAGAGTGGGAATTATTTAGTAGTTTGTTTTTAAAAGGGATTTTATGCAACCAATCAAAACTATTTTCATCTCTAAAGTTAAAATAATACATCTTGGGTTACACTTTTACATTTTAGGATAAGGCCTTACTTAGTTTCATAACAGTGGGTGAAAAAAATTTGTTCATAAGCTTCAAAGTATTAGTTCATTCTCTGATTGTACTTGTCATCAATATCAAGTAGTATATTTTATTAGATGTAAGAAAAGGTTGTTAACACAACAACTTACTCGTAATCCACCAACATCATCGTTAGTCGTTGATTTGGATGAAATCAATGGTGGAGTGGGAAACAGTCTACTGGATTGGAATGTAGAATTAGTAGTATTAGTGATAAATGGTTTATTGTTTATACTGGATAAATGAGACCTGATTTTAATCTGTGGTGATGGGGTTAACTTGGGCAGTGGAATATTAGAATGAAGTGGTTCCCCGTTTTGTAAATGGTTCGGAATTCGATTTGTACATGTATTTTGTGGAGCTTCAAAAAAATTGGTCGATCAATCACTGTCTGAAATGTGCTAGGAATTGCATTAGACTCTTTGGTAGGAATGAACATAACTATAAATAAATAAAGAAAAACAGAAAAATATTTCCATTCACTTATTACGAAAAAAAATCATGGAACAAAGTCACAAATTCGAACGCCGAACATCTATCTACAAAGGTTGCTTGAGATTTAGTATGATAAGGCATCAATCAGGCTTTTGTATTTTTAACGATAGAAAACAACAATCTGGAAGATGAGCATACATACACTGAACCCAAGCATACTAACTACATTTCAACAGAACGAGACGAAACGCACTCAACCATTTTGTACACACCACTGCAGTAGGCAATGAGCCACACCTATTGTGTAAAAGGTCAGTGGCATTACCTGGCTACGCAAACCTCGAGAGATGGAGCGCAGCTCAAACTCATGACTCAACGGTTGAAAGTCATCTCTTTAAACCACTGAGCCACAGTTCCGCTTTAACAGAAAACAACTATCACATGAAACAAATGCTTATTATCACTTCACTATATAGGGAAACACAGATTGTGGTAAATATACTTTGTAGGCACAAATCTTCAAAGTATGACTGACTACCATCAGGTTACATTCAGATGACTTTCAGTGATGAATAAATTGTGTTAAAACAAGTTACTTCACTAAAATTGAACAAATACAGATATATCTAGCTCAAAGTGAGTGTTCAATAAGGAAAATCAAAACGACTTAGAAATCATATACTGTACTATGTTAAGGCCTATAATACTATCCGCTTGTTCAAAGTGGAGTAGATGGAATGGGATCTGAAACTAGAGTACATTGTCTGAAGGATAAATTCATGGATTTAAATTCAACAATTGTGTTCTAAGTTAAATCAACTTTAATGTTACATAAATGCAACTGAATCATTGCAAATAAATCGATCATCTTTTCCAAAAATAATCCTTTCAGTTATCAGTACATTAATCAGTTAAATTGTAAAAAGTGAACCAATAATCAGTTCGGTTGGTTGACTACTCCCTTAACAACTAATAACCAACCTATCATTTCACTGTCGATAAAATTGACATAGCCAATTGGTCTAGATGATCGAATCCTAACCAGAGGAACAGAAATTTGAACTTTATTCCACCTATCAACGATTAGATACCCAGTTAGCTCAGAATAGGTATGGTTCACTACCTAAAGCAAGAAACCGAATTGATAAATTGTAGTCACAACTAATTTTCTCAGTATTATTGCTAGAACATATCATCATCATGTGAATAAAAAACAAAACAGAAACCAATATCAACGTAAAATGAAATGGTTAGAAATCAGAAGAGAAGACCAATACAAAAGTGTTCATAACGAGAAAAACTTTTAAAATAAAACACAAAAGAAACTAGATTTCACTTTTTAAACAATATAGTTTTGATTAGACTTTTATTGTCAGTACATGTAATGAGAACTGAGATTTTAAATATTCATATATACTGTGATAATTTTGAGTGGAATCAAATTCTTTCACAGCAGATAAAATCGATGGTGGATATTCCATAGAGAGATGTGGGAAAAATTGCTCAAATTCAATAAGATCACCATAAGAAGAAACAGAGAAACCTTCCAAAGGTAATTGAGATCCAGGATAAATCTAAATGTAAAAATAAATCGAAATAAGTGACAACTATAGACATATAGTTATATTACACGAGTAATTCAATGACACTTGATATCCTAACCACAAAAACTACTTCGATGTCAAATTCTGTATGTGTAAATAAAAGTCATATATAAAACATAAAAAGTCTGATCTCACAAACGTATTTTTATTTAAGCGGGGGGGGGGGGGGGGTAGGGATTTATTTATTGATCTCAAATTGATATTCATCAGGGAGTGACATCAGTTGGAGAACCATTGAAAACCTGGGAGCACTGGACAGCTATTTCATTCTACGACAGAACTCCTCAGCAGTGCGCACCCATAATCCCGCCTGGTATTGGATGGAGGTTTTGCTATATCTTGAACTAGTAGATGTAGGAAAATCAAGTGGCTCAATTATAACTTGCTCTCTGTGGAACATGAAGCTCCTGGGTTGGAGATGTGGTAAACTCGTAGAGTGCGCGCTTTCGAGGAGTCCTGTACTATAACGAAGCAGCTGACCTGTGCATCCAGGTTTTCAATGGTTTCCTAAATGATGTCGGTCTGGAATGAATATCAACTTAAAAATATTTCCATCCGAACAGAAAAAAGTGTTTTGATAGAGTTTAAATAGGTCTGCAAAACTGCGTGAAACCAAAATGGTTTACAATGAGAATATATCTGAAAAAAAGTGATATTCATTTCTGAATTTCCTGACAGCTGATATCAGTTATAGAGAGGACGGATATTCCAAAGTGTATGAAAATCTAAGGTGAAATAATATGAAATTTGTGAAATCGGAACACTTTTGTTAACTTTTTATTTTATATTGCCTTCAACTTTAGACAAAGTGTCATTTTATTTTCACGCATTGTGTATATTCTCATGCTTTTCTACTTAGTCTCATTGTTCTACTTGTGTTTTTGTAAAAATAATGAACGAAACGAATTGTAACACAGCAACCACATGCAACTGCATGGACTAGGCAATGAGTTATATCTAAAGTGTGAGAGTTGGAGATACTACCGCGATACCCCAACCTTGGTTACTGAGGAAGGGATTAAAGTCGATCTCCTGGTCCAATGCATTACACAACACCACTCTGATATTCTGATAAGCTCTAGGTTACATGAGTTACACAGAACCTTTCTGAGTTGTGTTTACAGCCTATTTTCAAAACAGTATCAACTACTATAAGAGTAAAACTTGGGGACTATGGTCGATTGTAATTCCATTTTAGTCAGTTTCTTAGAAATTTCACACAGTGAAACAGTATCATTTTACTGGATAACATTTCGGACTCAATTTATTGTTCATATTCATGTCAGGTAACTCCACAGCTTTGAGACAGAGTTGGGTAGAGGGAGAGATTGATAACCGAATCTCTGTATATCGAATCAAAACCAAATACATTCAATCGAAATGCTTCTGCACCTGTCCAAGATATATAGAAAATTCTATTACCCTTGGTCATCACAGAGGAGAGGAAATTAGGAACATATAAACTCTGTCTCGAAGTTGTACCCGCTGATATGAATATAGACAATAAATTATATCCGAAATGTTATCCAGTAAATGATACTGTTTCACTGTGTGATATTTCTAATAAACAGACTAAAATGGAAGTAGTATTCATCATGGACTGACATCAGTTGGGGAACCATTGGAAATCTGGGAGCACTGGACAGCTGTTTCGTCCTAGTATGATGAATACCGCTTCTAAATTAAAAATCCCCATTCATCCCAAAAATACATTACTGTATAGTGCTCATTAGCGACTTGCTTCCAGAGGGATATCAGGAAGCTCTAATGAGAAGCCATGACCTGTGGGGTCAACCAGTCGGATATGAAATGGATGCTAACTGAAGACCTTGGGTGAAAATCGTGGGTGAGTACTGCTGAGGAGTCCCACAATAGGATTAAACAGCTGTCCAGTGCTTCCAGATTTCCAATGGTTCCTCAACTGATGACAGTCCATAATGAATACTACTTCTAAATTAGAAATCCCCATTCATCTCTAAAATGGAAGTATCAACTACCATAATAAATATTAAATCTCTACAATACAATACGGATTTAGACACTAGCTGACAAATGAGTTCAAGGTACTATTGGACTTTTGACTAAGAAATAGCTTGAGGGTTGAATTTTTAGACGTAATCGCAAAAGAAAAACGTCCGGATGATTTGTGTTAAGGTAGGCTGGGTGCTGATGACCTATATTTCAAAATACTGATAAACAGATGTCTTTTAAAAATCTTTACTGAAAGAAAGCTTACCAATTTGATAATTCCTGAGAAATTCTGATTTACTTTTAAATCATTTATTGTACTATTCAGAACTGATATACTAGATCCACCTAGATCGATGAGTGATTTGCACGATTGGATCAGAGAATTTGAAGACTGTGTTCTAAATATACCCAATGGAAACCGAGGTGGCATATACGTTCTAAAGAATACATATTTTACACATTCATCAGTTAAATTGCTCGGAATAGTTTTCATATAAGACAATAAACCAGCTTGATGCAGATGACTATAAAATATAACTAAGACCAGTTGATGAATTGACCACAATATGGCAAAAATGACAACCATATAGGAAAAGTGACTCCTTTTCCTAATCTTTGCTTTAGCATCTATGCTTTGACCAATAACAAAACAAGCATATGGTAGACATGGAATAAGAAAACGTGCCTCTTGATGAGGTATTAAAGATAGAATCAGTGTAGGGAATACTGTACAAACCCAAGCAACACAAGATGAAAGCGAACGGTACTGTAAAGGGTGAGTAAACAACTGGATAACAAAAATAGGTCCTAATATCAAAGGCCAATTAACAAGAAAATGAGTAAACCAAGGGTGTAAACCGTGTGAAGAAACATGTTGTGGATTAGAATTATAAGCGAAAAATCGGCAAGGTGTACAAATTAATTGAAATTGTGAGACATTAGCTTGAAGGGGGTGTAGTACACTGACATTCTGAAAGTAAATTGAATCCAATAATACACAAATGAAGACGTTGAACAGAGCAACAAACACAATAACTGGAAGACGAAGAAGAATAAAAATTACTTTACATTTCATGATTAAGAGTATCAATTCAATAATCCCTAAAGGAAGAATAAATAATATATAAGTAGGGCGTAAGAAGGTAGACCATACAATAAGTCCAGATTGAATATACATGAAAATAGTAGTAGTGGATTGCTTTTTTAGTGTGAAACTAGATGACTGATCTAGATACTTCATGATTTCAAGGAATAATAGACCAAACAATGAAACATAAATCGACTCCCATGTATTGACAATTGTACGACCTGACATTAACATTCCACCAAATGCACATGATGCATACAACAGGGAAGCAGTCGGCACAGAATGATATCTAACAATACTTAAGATGTACTGAATTCTAGATAACTTCAATAAACGCTCATGACGAGGTTGATGATGTAGACAACAGCGTAATATGAAAATATCTATCAAATATGAGCCAAGAACAGTAATCAATCGGGAAGGAAGTAGGACACGATTAATCAAATCAGATCCATTGTAGTGAATCGGTATAGCTGTAAATGGAGATTATACTTATTTTTATTGATGAATTACGCGAGGAATATACAAGATTAAGAATAATATAGATCATTAAAATATACCTTACAGGTAGTCATACTTAATGACCTGTTTTCTCTGCAATTGCTATTCTAGAATTGAAATATCAAACATGTTTTATGTAATAATAATAATAATAATAATAATAATAATAATAATAATAATAATAATAATAATAATAATAACGATAATAAACAGTTCAATTCAACCCTATACAGGTTTATATACTACTACACTACGAACAAGATGTAATGTGAGGCTGTATGCAGCCATCTGGTTGTCTAGGCTGAAGTAAATGGACCAGGTCACAGAGTTAAACAGTATCATTTACTGAATAACGTTTTGGACATAACTTATTGTCGATATTGAAACAGTGAAGAATATTTGTAGCTCAGGTGGATGGTCTTGGTTGTATTGTAATCTCTGAGCTGAGTTGTCGATATTCATATCATGATAATGACGACAATAATATGAATATGGACAATAAATTATGCCCAAAAAGTCATCCAGTAAATGATACTGTTTCACTGTGTGACATTTCTAATAAACAGACTAAAATGGAATTACAATCTACCACAGTGCTCAGGTTTTACTCTTAAATTAATAAACGGATCCTAGGATTTGAACTTAGAATGCAAGAGCGCAAGTCACAAAGCTACATCTTCACAAATGTATGAAGTGACTACATAAATATTACAGGGATGAATTATCACAGGTATAAGAATGCTATTTATCAGGAATTAAGTCCGCTGAGTTGAATTTCAAACCTTTCAAATTTAATCCTACCAGTGGTAAGGGCTAGTAAGTGACGACCGAAATATCGCATTTGCATTTAACTGCTTATCTACTTGTCTAAATGAATGCAGATGTATGACGTGGTGAGAAAATCCACCAACAGCTTTATACCTTATTAATACACAATGTATCAACAGAAAGACGGGTGTATTGTACCTTCATAATTTAATGTAAACTTCCCACTTCGTGGTGGATCTGTTTTTCGTTAGTTTAAGAAGATAACTTTCAACCAATGGGACACGGGCTTGAGGCCCGTTTCATCAACCTAGCCTTCGGCAGTCAGGCAGTATCATCACCCCTTATACAATAAGTGTGACTCACTGCCTTACACATGCTTGTGCACAAGGTTGTTGAATTCATTTCAATCCGGTTCACATTTCGTTGACAATTGTAAAATCGTATAGTTTAATTCCATTTGATAATGAACCATCATTAATCTTTATTATGGTAAGAACAGAAGGATTTGCATGATCTCTAGTTCCATCATTGTTTCAGAAACATGATTAGAGCTTTATTCGTTTTAAGCACACAAAAAAAACATAAGTATAGCGCATCCCAAAGACTTTTTAAAAAACTTACTTTTAGAATTAAGTTTATCCAAAATCCACTTAGTGAATAAAATTGGTATATGTACAAAAGGTGACATTCCAGCCACAGATCTGAGAGGACCTTTATCATCTAAGCTAAACTCCCATGTTCTCAGTACATCCAAATTATAAATATCACCTGCTGCTATTTCAATACTTTGAAAGTATTCATCTGGATGTAAGTAACCAGATTGCAGATTGAATACAAATAGTAAACGTAAGCATAAAAGCAGTGTGTAGACAGTCCAGCTGAGGAGGCGATAATTCATAAACAGCTGGGAAAAAAATATGCATGACACAAAGAAACAGTTTAAATGATAATTTTACAATGTAGTTTACTTTCGAAAAAAAATCATTGACTATGCATAATACTCTTATGAGTGATATTGAAAAGAAATGCAAAACAAGGTGTTTCAACATTTATATTACACTTCAAAAAGAATAATAGTAGTAGGCACAAAATGATCACGATATACGTTCAGCTTTATATACAAAAGCAAGAGATGTTTTTAGTGAATTCATAGAACAATGTGGTTCATCTGATTTGATTGTAGACTGAAGGCAGCTGGCTTGATCTTCATTTTTAGTTAATTTTTCTATACACTGCTTACTAGTTTGGGCAATTTCAATATTATGTTCATTATTGGGATGAGGGAGAATACGCCATGGATTTAACATTTCCAACTTGGAATGAATTGATCTAAAGAGGGAACATTAAAAGCAACACGTTGAAAGATATCGAGTAACAGAATTCTATAACTTCAACGTAACAAATCACAAACAATAAGTTTGTAAAAAAAAGGTATAAATAAAACTTACACCTACCTAATTATAGAGCTACTCTTTATCTACAACATATGACACATACATACCATATTAACCGCCAATATACAAGCACAAATCTAAATTTTGGATAAAAAGTATTCCAGGGTGAATCGAATGTTTGGAAAATTCCATTTCCGGTCACAATTACACTAATAAGTGAGATGCATTGGGGAAGTCTTATCGCATTTTCCCATAAATATCAATCTGCCTGACATAAACAACGATGACAAGAATTAAACCATACTGATATAAATGTATATTAGTGACCAATATGAATAATCAGAGTAGAATATCACATCGTATTGAAGGTAATCAATGACTTCCTGAAGTTCGACGTAGGGCTTGCTAAATCTAGAATGAATACTGAGTTTATCAAAGTTTATTATCCAACAATTGGCTGGAAGTCCCTAAGAAGTTACATACTTGAGACTACAATTTACTGAATACGTGAACTGAATTACACAATTTAAGTTTGCAAAGAAATGCAAAGTATTGTTGAAGAGTTTAGACAGTCAAATTCTCTAAATTCCCAGCAGATCCAGAAAAGTGCGTTCATCATTATTTCTGTATTTTACCGGATAAATGGAAGTGATACCCCTTGACACTAAAGTTTGTGACACTCGTAAGCAAACAAACTAAATCGCAACAGATGTACAGTTCGAGTACAAACAATTTGGTAGCATCATCTAGTGTAGAGTTGGAAAGATTTAAATCAACTCTAGTTGACAGCCGCTATCAGCATAAAAACAATAAGAATATGATACGAGGCATACTAACTGGAGAGTATCGCAAAGTTCGCCAAAGACTTGGAAATGATCAGAACATGATCACTAAACCTGATAGGCGGGTTGGAGTAGTAATTATTAACAGGAAAGATTAAATAAGGAAAATGGATTCACTATTGCAAGACAGAGGTGAATTTCAGAAACTAGTATCAACGAAAAACCTAAACCCAAAATAGTAGAAAAAGATCTGGTCGTCTCACTGAAAAAACTAAAACCTGATGAATACATTCCGTCCACCTAATCTGGAAACTTGAAACCTATAGGCAACCCAATTTAATAGATGTATAGCCTGCCAAAAATACATAAGCCTAAGCTGCACCTTCGTCTCATCCTAGACCATATGATCGCGAACTGGCAAGTACAATTAGCCCAACCTTTGTATAATGAGTTAGGAAAATGTAATGTGAAAGACACTTTCCAACTGGTCGACAAAATAAAAAAATAAGTGTATTCAGTAAATGCATGGGATTCCTTGATATTACATCTTCGCTAGCTTATGCCCGTCTAATGGAAACCCTGGATTACATTTCCGAACAAGTATTAGAGAGATCATTACGAATTTGAACGAACTATTGCCAAAATTCCTTATAAATGTCTACTTCATCTTCAACAGTCAATGGGGTGGTTGTGGGATCTCTACTAAACCCCACATTTGTAAACATAATTCTAGCAAAATTGAAAAATGGTCATTTGAAAAATCAACCTGTCGATATATGGATGATACTCATGAAAATCAATTCAATGATTCGATACACGTCTTTGATGTGCTAAGACAAAAAACGAAGATGATTCTATAAAGAAAAGTAAACTTAGAAAACCAACGTCTAAGGCATAGTATACGCTCTTTCTTAACTTCATGCCTGCTTAAACCTTTGGCTATAGCAAGTTTAATTTGAGGGGTTTAAGGGATTTAGAGATTTTTTTCAAGTTAGTATTCACCATGGACTTACATCAGTTGGAGGAACATTGGAAACCTGGAAGTATCGGACAGCTGTTTCGTCCTAGTATGGGACTCCTCAGCAGAGAGCACCCACGACCCCGCAACCTGCACATCCCGTGGCCAGCACGTTACCAAGTTAATGCGAATTTCCCACCGAATTTATTTCATTAAACTCTTCCCTTTCAATTTGTTTTAACACCTTAAATATGTCTTTTAAACGCGTTAAGTACTCTTGCGGACTTTTTAAATGGTTTCAAGCTGCTGTTTTCCAAGCTAACAATAAAACAAAGAGGTGGATTTACAAATGCACAGAGATACAGTACATTACTATTCCTTGAATAACAATGCAGAATTGCAGATTTTGGTACTGACTGAATAAACTACCACCATCAAAATTAGGCTCGACTTTCTATTCATTCACTAGTCCAAACCAGACGATAATATAATTATCATGTGACTGTTTCACATTGAAACTTTCATTAGTGTTATTATCAACATGATTTAAATGCAATGATTACTTTACTTGAAGATATTGTACAGAAAATGAATTCGTTGAACTACTACATAATGTGAATTATTATTATTATTATAAACTCAATATAATCAGATACCAGGCATTGAGAGTAAGATCGATTTGTTCCAGTGTGTGAAAAAAGAACTGCTGTGTATCCGTGATACTCTAAGTGAAAACGGAATTCTTGAAATGTTCATCAAAGAAAACACCACTTACAGTAATCCTAAACACGAATTGATGACAGTGGAGAAGAGGCCTTTTTTATGTGACCATTAATCACGTGAGATGTTTCAAGTGACATCTTATCACAACACCTAGCTAGAGCAGTAAATAAAATGTTTTATTTAGGCTGTCTTTGCATATCTTTCAGTAGTCGGCGGATACTCCATCAGAAACTTGGCTGTGTGAGTGTATTGATCAGAGCTTTTACCTTCGCCACATTTCGCAACACAAGCAAAAATTAACAAAATTCGACAACAACTGTATTTCTTGACCCGAAGGAGGCATTAAACTACGCAGGTTGAGAGGTCTTACGACAGTGTATAACTAAAAAAAGTGCAGAGTAAGTAAATCACTCCACTAAAGACTATAAATTCCAACACCCATGTGGTATTGGAGCCTATGATGAGGTATCAGGAGAGACTACGTATGGACTCAAGTCAACGTCAATTTGGGACCTGGAATTACTGAGTAGTGGTTTAAATTGTCACACCGAATATCAGGACATCAAATGAGAATGCATCAAGATAAACGATAAAGAAATAGAGAAAACAATCCAAAGTCGCAGAAATTTGTCAAAAAGTAGCATGAAGGAATGAGATAACAATGCGATTCAACATAACAACTAAGATTAAAATGATTTTTTGTACGTCTCCACCACTGCAATCAAGTGTGAGCCATGTCGCCTAGAGTCGCTGACCACTGATTCCTGTTGTCACGTGGACCACGATCGGGTCGAATTTTTCGATCTCTGTTGGTAGATGGGCTCCTATGCAAATGCCTCCTTACTGCCGGATCCATGATGTTGTATTCATCTTGATGACTCACAGCAGATGTGCATTTCGGCCCACCTGGGACTCGTCAGCTGAAGGTACCTGCAGCCCAGTGAGTGATGTTGATACAATGAGGCTCGGGAAAGTATCAAACAACAAGAAAGGATACCCTTTGCACAAGCACATGCCCTGGTGGCATGACCGATACTGCTTTAGCGTTTGAAGCGATGGGTACTGCGTTCAAGTCTCAGTGGGAGCAACATCGCTCACTGGAGTGTAAGCACATCCAGTTGACGAGTGCCAAATAAGATGAAACTTTATTCCACTAGCTAATAGAGAATAGTTTGTAATAAAATAAAATTCCTATAATTTCTACACTCAGAGTAACCAGTTAGTAAAGTTCCAGTAGTTCCCGTAAAATGTTAGGACTATGTAATACGTTTTTGTGGTTGAAACTAAAGAGTTAGAAACAACATAGATGAGAAAACTGATAACCGCCTAAACTTGACAATAGGTCGAATCATATAGTACCAACTGAGTACAACTGAGTAACAAAGGGAAACTGGTTTTGAGAAAGTTCAACACCAATAAAGAACTAACCTTAAAACAATAGTTGGTAAATATAATTCATCATCGGAAAGTTTTGGTTCAGGTGGGATATTTATAGCCAATTTTTCACATAATATTCTCATAACCATATCAGCTTGCGCATGAATGTTTAAAGTTGCATATTTGGCTAACTTAGTTGGTTGTAGGTTAACAATGACTAGTTTGGGGTTAATATTTTTCGTCAGATCTTCATCTTTGTAACTCTTCTGAATAACAGGATGGAAGTTACTGTTCCCCCTGCTCTTTATAGTTCTACGATAATTAATTAATGGAAGACCTGCAGCAGGGAACATCTGTAATGATGATCCAATACATATATGCAGATCTGCCTTTCTGAAAAAGAAGATAAAGTAAAAAGTAACCATTCGACAATAACCTTAAATATATAAGACAAACGTTTTATATTTCTGGACTCACTTTGAGTGTTCTATTGCGAGATTATAATCTAACTCTGGAAGGTCATCTTCCCAGTCAAGAATAGTATCATGTAGTTTGCCCCTAATATCAATGCTCTATACATGTATGCAAACACACCTGCAATGTCGGTTATTTAGCTTTGAATGTATACATGAAACTGATGTTTTCCGAAGACCCATTGTTTCGGAAGGTGTTGACCGAGCGTACATAGTTCCACAAGCATGACATGACTCAAGAAACATATCACCATGTAAAATAGCCAAACGATCTCTTGGAAAACCAGATCTCAAGTGCAGTCCATCGATGTTTTGAGTTACTAAGAACTGAATAATATCTAACTGAATAAAGGTAGTTTGGACAAAAACAGCATACCACGTTTTTCCATTTCAACAAGTGCTCGATGTGCTAGAGATGGAACAGCCTTTTCAAAGGAGACAGACAGTTTAGGTTTCTTTCCCAACTTTTCTAACGTCCATACACCTAAAAGAAGAATGGTAATTAGAAGAAAAGTCAATTTACCATTGGGACCCCGAAAGTCTGGTATTCCTGTTGATGTACTAATACCAGCTCCAGTGTGAACAACCACGTATTTAGACTCATGAACCAGATTTGCAAGCTCATCAACTTTGAGATTTAATTGACATTCATCATCAAAAACTTCTGGTAGACCACATACTCCCTTGTTGGGATAATACGACAATTTGGATGCATAGTCAACTGACATCAAGTCTGATATGCCTACAACGGTAAATAATAAAGCAATCAACTGGGCGGAATTCACAAACAAGTGGTGACTGAAAATTAACCATAACAGAAACATAATTTCCAATCGATAGATCAAACGTCAACGTGCTAAAAAGTTACATCGTGAACTAAGAGCACCTGTCACTATATTTATTTTAAAATCGATTTGACATAAAACAGAAAGTAGGAGCTTTAACATTATGAATACCATTATTGTTTTTGTTATTATTATTTGGAAAGTTGTACTAACTGAGATATTAACAGATGTGCTCTTTTAAATATCAGAATATCACTGCACAGTACGCGAGGTAGAATCGTCTACAATAGTTCTGCATGTCACTTTTTAAGAATGTCAATGAGACAGGAATTAATTTTGGAAAATACGATTAGTCTACTGCACTTTGTTACTTCTTCCTCTTTAGCTAAAAATAAGTCGCTATATGGTGATTAACATAAATGAATAGAGGTTAACAGGCTATTGACATTCCAACCATGAAACGAGTTGAAATACACTAGTTTCCGTAATCGAGCCCATACTAACTTGCATATAGATGGGGGGGGGGGGGGGGAAGCAATTTATTTTGGAACGGAATAAATAGAATATCATAAATAGAAGAATACCAAGATAAACTAAGAAGGGATTACAAGCGATAATTAATTATACGTATCCAAAACATTCAGAGCAATATGCAACTACGGCATTCAGTCACCTAACCTGAGCCCCACTGTAAGACGCTAGTGTGTGAAGTTCTGTAGAGTGCCTTGCCACATAATTACCCTCATTTCAAAAAAATGGTGGAGAATGTGTGATCGCCAGTCTCCAGAAGATCGTTTGCATCCCACGGTACCATCATGCTAGTAATATAGAGGTATGAAAGCCCCGCAATAGCTGCTATCTTGATGTGGTGGTCGAGCCTACATATCACAATGACCCAACGAACTACACTGGATGGAAAGTTTGTTCCTTGAAAGGTTTACTTGACAGCGGTAAAACAAGAAGCCGTTACCGTTATGGTATAAATTGCCAGACTATAATGGGCTCCGAAGGCGAAGTCATAGTGCTAGCTGTAGAGAGTGTTGCAGCAGTAAAGTGTTCCCCGTGGGTGACCGGTAGTAGAAGCAGGGTATGCATGGGTAGAGAAAAATCGTTGGTCTCAAAAATAGCACATTCTCTTCTGTCCTGTGGCCTGTTGCCAGCAATATGGGTTTCCCTATTCGGCATTAGAACAACCATATGTCAAAACAACAATCTTCAAAAATCTGTGCGACAGGCTTCACACAGATGTTTCATAGGCTCTGTGGTCACACAAGTCTTTTCCTTCTTCGCTTTCAGGTACCTTACAGAAACAAATTCCACGGTGTAGGCAGCCGGGAAATGTCGACCAACTTCGCTTTCTCGTACCAATATTAAACCTCTAGCAACTTCCTTAACCTTTCATTCTACGACCACTCCTAACGATCAAAGCCAGTAAAACACCATTCTTTGTCTCCTGAAACCATGCTGTCAGTTTCACACTGGATCTTTCGACGCTCGAAACCTAAGCTGAATCCGACAGAAAGCATTGCTCGCTAGAACTCCGGAATCTCCAGCCACGGATGTGTCGTACCTCTGAGACACAATACAGAATCAGAATGCATTTATTAAACTTAAACCACCTGGCCACGGTAGTGAGTCTTCAAAATTCACATTACGAGTAATCGGAGACCCGTTGGGCTGGCTCTCATGGACTCACTGATTTAGGCATAGCATTGAGTTCTAGAGCAGCTTCAACATGAATTGCGCACGCCCAGCTACCGCCTACCTCGACGTGCCATACTAGGAAAAGCTGGATTAAGCTGTAAGACGGTTCAAGGTGACCACACCAAGACCTGGAACCAGTTGACGATGTCCCTGTTGGTCTGAGCCGTGTTGGGAAATGTGGATTACCTGGCTGGGATCGATCTCTGTGACAAAAGGAATCAGTGGTTGAGGAATCTTGGTGACATGGCTGAAAATCGGTCACGATCGTGCAGATATATTGCATGTTTGACGTTCCGAATATTTGCACCGACCTTTATCTTCAAATTGTTTGTTATCTTACATGACTTTGTCTACTTAGATATCATTCTTTCTTCCTCACTGTCTACTTGGTATGCAATGCACTTGGAAGTTGGATCAGGTTGGAAAAGGGCTTAGAGCGCCTAGACGATGACTTCGCACCAGTTCGTTAAGTCGTCTGACTGTTGGTCTAAGCCGTGTAGGGAGCTGTAGACTGCCTGGTTCGGGTCCTCAAAGTGATAGGAATCAACGGTTGGAGACCCAAGGTGACATGACCGAAAATCAGTCGCAATAGTGCTGAAGTATTCACTTCTTGACGTATTCTGAGGCTTGAACATTTTCACCAATCTTGATTTTCACATTCCTTTTCCTCCCCATACACATTCGTCTGCTTTGATGATACTCTTTTCCAACTGACTTGTTCTTTGAACGCTATTGTAAATTGTAGCAACTTGAATCGACACACTTACGTGCGAGGTTCCATGTTGAACTTGTTAATGTGGTAGAAAGGCATGTATTCTGTGAGATGAAGACTCTTCACAACTACTGAAGCCATTCAAAAGAGTTTCAACGCACTCCACATTTTCCGCCGAACATTCAATACTTCATACTGAAAATGATTGGTTCATGATGCCACCTAACGGGACGAAGGATGATTGGCCGTGTAAAGCATTAATTGACGCATCCCACTTCCTTGTTGAAGTGCAGTGGGGTTACGTGACTCGGGTTGGATGTCCTAATATATTACAGAGAATCGACATCATTATTATTATTAGTCCCTTGGGTTCCTGATGGAACATAGGGCTTCAGTAGCACGTCTCCAGTGAACTCTGTTCTCGGAAATCTTTTGAACCTGGTCCCACGACAGTCCAGAAGCTCTCATTTCCTCCTCACACGATCTCCTCCATGTCACCCTCGCACACCCAAGTCGTCGCTTCCCATCTGGTTTCCATTCGAGTGCCTGACGCGTGATGTCCCCAGTCAGCCTTCTCACTGTATGCCCAATCCAATCCATCTCCACTTCCTTCCAGTGCATATTTGTTGAGCGATAAGTTCTTGGTTGGTTCGCTCCCAGAGTTCCTTGTTGCTTATTCTTTTTATTCTGGCCATACGATCGTCAGTAACGAGCCAGCGTAGGCAGTTGTTGATGAATGTCTGTAGTTTATTGGAAATCCCTTTCGTAACACACCAAGTCTCTGAGCCATACAGAAGCACTGACTTGACGTTGGTGTTGAAAATCCGTATCTTGTTTCACATGCTGAGTGCAGAAGATCTCCACACTGGTTTCAGGCTAATGAACGCCTGTCTTGCTTTTCCGATTCTGACTTTGACATCCTCGTCTGTGCCGCCTGTAGTTGAAACAGTGCTGCCTAGATAGGTGAAGGAGGTTACTTCCTTTAAGTTTCTCCCGTTGATGGTGATTGGAGTTTGTTGTTTTTGTTGTTGTTGGTGCGGTATCTTCATCACTTCTGTCTTCTCTATATTCACTTGAAGTCCCGTCTCCCCTCGCTGCCTCTTCTGCCAACTTGTTAGTTTTCGCCTGTAGATCATCAAGTTTGTGTGACATCAGGCACATGTCATCAGCGAAATCCAGATCTTCTAGGTTCTTTTCCGCCGTCCAGCGTATCCCCCTCTTCTCGCTCCCCACTGTCTGCTGCATGATCCAGTCGACCACAATCAGGAAAATCATCAGTGATAGTAGGCAACCTTGTTTCACTCCTGTCTTCACTTCAAAAGCATCACTGAGCTTCCCATTGTGAATTACTTGGCATGTGATGTCTTCATATAGTTGTTGAATGAGGCTGATTAAGGTTTACGGTATTCCGTAGTATTGAAGCAGTGTCCGAATTACCTCTCGGTCGACGCTGTCAAAGGCCTTCTCAAAGTCGATAAAGTTGAGATGTAGAGTTGACTGCCATTCTATACTATGCTCTATGATGATGCGAAGCTTTACAATTTGGTCTGCACATGATTTGTACTTTCTGAAGCCTGCCTGTTCCGGCCGTAGTTTTGAATCCAGTGCATCCTTTAGCCTCTCCAGGATGATGCGGCTTAATATTTTGCTTGCTCTGGGTGGACAGGAGAGTGATTCCGTGCCAGTTCTTCCAAACACTGAGATCTCCCTTCTTCGGGAGTTTGACAAGGTAACCCTTCTTCCAGTCAATAGGCAGGTACCTTCCCTTTATTCCACACCTTCTGCAATAGTGGTGTGAGCATATCCGCTGTTGTCTCTGTGTCTGTTTTCAGTGCTTCTGGTGGGAACCCATCTGGTCCTGTTGTTTTCCTACATTTCAGTAGCTTTGTGGTGCTCATGACTTCCACTTTTGTTGGGAGATTTGTGTTCCCTTGTAGTTCTGTGGCTGCAGATGGTATTTCTGGAAGAAGTGCAGGTGGTGGTCGATTCAAGAGCTTCTTGAAGTGGTCGGCCCATTGTTTCCTTTGTTTCTCTTCTTTCGTAATTAAATTTCCGTCACCATCTTTTACTGGCTTCGTCTGAGTTGATCTCTTCCCAGATAGTAATCTGGTTATTTGATACAATGTTGTCAGGTCTCTCTTACTTGCAGCCTGTTCTGCTTCACTTATCAGGGTTTCGTAGAAGTGTCTTTTGTCTTTCCGTGCACTCTTCTTCACTTCTTTGTCCAGTGTTTTATACATTGTACTCAGTGTCTCTTGTCGTTGAGCATCCTTGCACTGGTTTATCTCCTGCTTCACCATCCTCCTCTCCCTGCTCTATCAGCTTCCAGGTATCCGTCGAGATCCATTCCTTGTCCTCTTCCAGTGTTCTTCCACACAGGTTTCTTCAGGGATGTTCCTCGATATCTCACATTTTGTCTTGATGGCTGCCTTGAAGATTTCTTTTGTAGTTTCGTCCTTCAGTTTCCGAGAGTTGTACTTGAACTGTGGTCTATCACAAACTTCCTTGAAGGCTTTTAACTTGATTTCGAAGGTCCCTTGC